ATGAACAGACCAATCACAAGCACTGAAATTGAAACTGTGATTAAAAATCTTCCAAAAAACAAAAGCCCAGGACCAGATGGCTTCACAGGCGAATTCTATCAAACATTTAGAGAAGAGCTAACACCTATCCTTCTCAAACTCTTCCAAAATATAGCAGAGGGAGGAACACTCCCAAACTCATTCTACGAGGCCACCATCACCCTGATACCAAAACCAGACAAGGATGTCACAAAGAAAGAAAACTACAGGCCAATATCACTGATGAACATAGATGCAAAAATCCTCAACAAAATACTAGCAAACAGAATCCAACAGCACATTAAAAGGATCATACACCATGATCAAATGAGGTTTATTCCAGGAATGCAAGGATTCTTCAATATACGCAAATCAATCAATGTGATACACCATATTAACAAATTGAAGGAGAAAAACCATATGATTATCTCAATAGATGCAGAGAAAGCTTCTGACAAAATTCAACACCGATTTATGATAAAAACCCTGCAGAAACTAGGCATAGAGGGAACTTTCCTCAACATAATAAAGGCCATATATGAGAAACCCACAGTCAACATCGTCCTCATTGGTGAAAAACTGAAAGCATTTCCACTAAGATCAGGAACAAGAAAAGGTTGCCCACTCTCACCACTCTTATTCAACATAGTTTTGGAAGTTTTAGCCACAGCAATTAGAGAACAAAAGGAAATAAAAGGAATCCAAATCAGAAAAGAAGAAGTAAAGCTGTCACTGTTTGCAGATGACATGTTACTATACATAGAGAATCCTAAAGATGCTACCAGAAAACTACTATAGCTAATCAATGAATTTGGTAAAGTAGCAGGATACAAAATTAATGCACAGAAATCTCTGGCATTCCTATACACTAAGGATGAAAAATCTGAAAGTGAAATCAAGAAAACACTCCCATTTACCATTGCAACAAAAAGAATAAAATATCTAGGAATAAACCTACCTAAGGTGACAAAAGACCTGTATGCAGAAAATTATAAGACACTGATGAAAGAAATTAAAGATAATACAAATAGATGGAGAGATATACCATGTTCGTGGATTGGAAGTATCAACATTGTGAAAATGACTCTACTACCCAAAGCAATCTACAGATTCAATGCAATCCCTATCAAAGTACCACTGGCATTTTTCACAGAACTAGAACAAAAAATTTCACAATTTGTATGGAAACACAAAAGACCCTGAATAGCCAAAGCAATCTTGAGAACGAAAAACGGAGCTGGAGGAATCAGGCTCCCTGACTTCAGACTATACTACAAAGCTACAGTAATCAAGACAGTATGGTACTGGCACAAAAACAGAAAGCTAGATCAATGGAACAGGATAGAAAGCCCAGAGATAAACCCATGCACATATGGTCACCTTATCTTTGATAAAGGAGGTGGGAATGTACAGTGGAGAAAGGACAGCCTCTTCAATAAGTGGTGCTGGGAAAACTGGACAGGTACATGTGAAAGTATGAGATTAGATCACTCCCTAACACCATACACAAAAATAAACTCAAAATGGATTAAAGACATAAATGTAAGGTCAGAAACTATCAAACTCTTAGAGGAAAACATAGGCAGAACACTCTATGACATAAATCACAGCAAGATCCTTTTTGACCCACCTCCTAGAGAAATGGAAATAAAAACAAACAAATGGGACCTAATGAAACTTCAAAGCTTTTGCACAGCAAAGGAGACCATAAACAAGACAAAAAGACAACCCTCGGAATGGGAGAAAATATTTGCAAATGAAGCAACTGACAAAGGATTAATCTCCAAAATTTATAAGCAGCTCATGCAGCTTAATAACAAAAAAACAAACAACCCAATCAAAATACGGGCAGAAGACCTAAGTAGATATTTCTCCAAAGAAGATATACAGACTGTCAACAAACACATGAAAGAATGCTCAACATCACTAATCATTAGAGCAATACAAATCAAAATTACAATGAGATATCATCTCACACCAGTCAGAATGGCCATCATCAAAAAATCTAGAAACAATAAATGCTGGAGAGGGTGTGGAGAAAAGGGAACACTCTTGCACTGTTGGTGGGAATGTAAATTGATACAGCCACTGTGGAGAACAGTATGGAGGTTCCTTAAAAAACTACAAATAGAACTATCATATGACCCAGCAATCCCACTACTGGGCATATACCCTGAGAAAACGATAATTCTAGAAGAGTCATGTACCAAAATGTTCATTGCAGCTCTATTTACAATAGCCCGGAGATGGAAGCAACCTAAGTGTCCATCATCGGATGAATGGATAAAGAAGATGTGGCACATATATACAATGGAATATTACTCAGTCATAAAAAAACCGAAATTGAGCTATTTGTAATGAGTTGGATAGACCTAGAGTCTGTCATACAGAGTTAAGTAAGTCAGAAAGAGAAAGACAAATACCGTATGCTAACACATATATATGGAATTTAAGGAAAAAAACCTGTCATGAAGAACCTAGGGGTAAGACAGGAATAAAGACTGTGTCCTACTAGACCTACTAGAGAATGGACTTGAGGCTATGGGGAGGGGGAAGGGTAAGGTGTGACAAAATGAAAGAGAGGCATGGACATATATACACTACAAAACGTAAGGTAGATAGCTAGTGGGAAGCAGCCGCATAGCACAGGGAGATCAGCGTGGTGCTTTGTGACCGCCTGGAGGGGTGGGATAGGGAGGGTGGGAGGGAGGGAGACAGAAGAGGGAAGAGATATGGGAACATATGTATATGTATAACTGATTCACTTTGTTATAAAGCAGAAACTAACACACCTTTGTAAAGCAATTATACTCCAATAAAGATGTTAAAAAAAAAAATCTTCCAACGAACAAAAGTCCAGGACCACATGGCTTCACAGGAGAATTCTATCAAACATTTAGAGAAGAGCTAACACCCATCCTTCTCAAACTCTTCCAAAAAATTGCAGAGGAAGGAACACTCCCAAACTCATTCTATGAGGCCACCATCACCCTGATACCAAAACCAGACAAAGATACTACAAAAAAAGAAAATTACAGACCAATATCACTGATGAATATAGTTGCAAAAATCCTCAATAAAATACTAGGAAACAGAATCGAACAACACATTAAAAGGATCATACACCACGATCAAGTGGGATTTATCCCAGGGATTCAAGGATTCTTCAATATATGCAAATAAATCAATGTGATATACCATATTAACAAATTGAAGAAGAAAAACCATATGATCATCTCAACAGATGCAGCAAAAGCTTTTGACAAAATTCAAAACCCATTTATGATAAAAGCTCTCCAGAAAGTGGGCATAGAGGGAACCTACTTCAACATAATAAAGGCCATATATGACAAACCCACAGCAAACATCATTCTCAATAGTGAAAAGCTGAAAGCATTTCCTCTAAGATCAGGAATAAGACAAGGATGTCCACTCTCACCACTATTATTCAACATAGTTTTGGAAGTCCTAGCCACAGCAATCAGAGAAGAAAAAGAAATAAAAGGGACACAAATTGGAAAAGAAGAAGTAAAACTGTCACTGTTTGCAGATGACATGATACTATATATAGAGAATCCTAAAGATGCCACCAGAAAACTACTATAGCTAATCAATGAATTTGGTAAAGTAGCAGGATACAAAATTAATGCACAGAAGTCTCTTGCATTCCTATACACTAATGATGAAAAATATGAAAGAGAAATCAAGGAGACAACCCCATTTACCATTACATCCAAAAGAATAAAATATCTAGGAATAAACCTACCTAAGGAGGCAGAAGGCCTTTACTCTGAAAACTATAAGATGCTGATGAAAGAAATCAAAGATGACACAAACAGATGGAAAGATATACCATGTTCTTGGATTGGAAGAGTCAAAATTGTCAAAATGACTATACTACCCACTGTAATCTACAGATTCAATGCAATCCCTATCAAAATACCAATGGTATTTTTCACAGACTTAGAAGAAAAAAATCTTAAAATTTGTATGGAAAAACATAAGACCCCAAATAGCCAAAACAATCTTTGGAAAGAAAAATGGAGCTGAAGGAATCAGGCTCCCTGACTTCAGACTATACTACAAAGCTACAGTGATCAAAACAGAATGGTACTGGCACAAAAACAGAAATATAGATCAATGGAACAGGATAGAAAGCCCAGCAATAAACCCATGCACCTATGGTCAATTAATCTATGACAAAGGATGTAAGACTATATGATGGAGAAAAGACAATCTCTTCAATAAGTAGTGCTGGGAAAACTGGACAGCTACATGTAAAAGAATGAAATTAGAACACTCCTTAACACCACACACAAAAATAAACTCAAAATGGATTAGAGACCTAAATGTACTGGATACTATAAAACTCTTAGAGGAAAACATAGGCAGAACACTCTTTGCCATAAATTGAAGCAAAATCTTTTTCAACCCGTCTCCTAAAGTAATGGAAATAAAAACAAAAATAAACAAATGGGACCTAATTAAACTTAAAAGGTTTGCACAGCAAAGGAAGTCATAAAGAAAATGAAAAGACAACCCATAGAATAGGAGAAAATATTTGCAAATAATGCCATAAAAAAGAATGAAATAATGCCATTTGCAGCAACATGGATGGACCTGAAACTAACACAACATTGTAAATCAAACATACTCCACACACAAAACAAAACAAAAAAATATATACTCCACAAATAAATAAATTAAATAAGTGATCTAAAGAGGTCAAAAAAAAAAAAAGAACAATACAGCAAGTTCTGAAGCATGTACAGTCACTGCAGCAAAGCAGGAACTACTTGCAGAATTCAGGCTACTCTTCAAAGTCCTTGCTCCTATAGATCGTGTTAAATCCAGGAGAAGCCTAGATAATGCCCAGCCTCCATCTGGCTAACCTCCACATTTGCTGACGGTGAGTCAAGGGCAGCAACACTCAGCCCAATTCAGCACACAGGTGACTTGACCAAACAAACTCAGCCAGAAAATTAGCTCTCACTCACCTTCTCACACCTGTACTCCCCAAACTTGACCCCTCGCACCACCTGCTGGTAGATGAGGTTGGTGGCCACATTGTCTTCTGAGGGGTTGTGCCAGGGAGTGAAGACCTCCTTGCGGAAGAAGAGCCTCCATGGGGCATTGCGCTCCTGGGCGCCCTGCTCCTTGGCATACTGCTCACACTGGGAGATGGCGTCCATGACGTGGTCGCTGCCACTGCCCAGGGAGGACACCTGCGGGCACAGGGCTGGAGGTCACCCAGTGGAAGGGTGAGCAGGCTGGGAAGGACCGCAAGGAGCTACTGACTGTGCCAACTCTTCTCATTCGGATGGAAAACCAAGGCTCAGAGAGAGGAGGGGCTTGCCCAGGTCACCCAGGAGGCAGACCAGCATGGGACCCCTGGATCCTAACTCATGGGCTCTGACTGGCACAGCCACGTGGGAGTTTCCATTTCCTAGTACAAGCCTTTGGTGAAACTCTGATGGACAAATGGCCACTGAAAACACGGGAGGTAGCTGTTGGTGAGAAAAGTCCAGGCAAATGGCATCAGACAACATGTGCCTATCGCTGGACCTGCTGGGGTGAGGGCTGGGGGTCACCTCTGTTGTGGGTGGTGATGCTGGGTGTGGAGGCAAAAAAATCCACTCCCAGGGCCAGCTCAGCAGAGAAGACTCCAAGCCCAGATGTGCCCCGGGAGGTATACACTCTGGCTGGTCGGTAACAAGTGAAAAGGAACTACCATAGCAACCTGATAAGGAATCACATGCCCATTTGCAAATGGGAAAACCCATTTTTTTTTATATCAGCGAGCCAGTGGCTCTCTCTCTCTCTCTGCCATGTTCTTCTTCTGTCACCAGCAGAGGATTGAATCCACCTGCGCGCACACGAGTGCAGTGAGCCCTGGATTTCAATCACCAGTGTGCTGTTGGGTTTCTCTTTAGGCGCTTAGGACCTCTCCCTGATCCTAAGGAGTTGGGGCAGGACCAGGGTTACCACTGGTTTACAGGAGGAAACTGAGGCCCTGGGAGGTCAGTAACCATGCAAGGGCACCTGAGCCAGTAGGTGGCAGCACTGGGGTGGGAGCTGGTGGGTGGCCCTGGGGGCGCCAGGAGGAGGGGCATCAGGGCCAACCTCACCTTATCAAACAGGGCGATGTAGAGGGAGAACCCGAAGCGGTCCTTGAGCGAGGTCTTGTCGGCTAGCGCGTTGCAGAGCTCCTTGGCCGTGGTTGCCGAGTCTGTCAACAGGGTCTTGGTGGTCCCGTCCATGAACGTCACAGGCAACATGATGGGCTTCTTGGACTTGGTGGCCTGAAAGTGATCCAAGGCTTTGTGGGAATCCTTTCACTTCAGAACATCTCCCTCTGAGCTCCTGGCTCCCTGCTCCCTATGGGGTTGGAGCCCTCGGACCTCAGCATCCCACGGCGCATTGCCTGTCCCTGGTCACAGGTGCCCAGGGAGCCCTGCTGTGCTCCCCACCCTGAAAGGACCTTCAGGGTCCCTGAGGTGGGGCACTAGGGCTGGGTGGTTGGGCTTTGCCACGTTCAGGGGCTTCTGCCCTCCTGTCATGTAACCATCACAAGACCCTGTGAAATGAATATCTTTACTGTCATGTATGCAGATGAAGCCACTGAGACACAGAGGAAACCCCCTGCCCAAGTCACTTTGACTATAAAGCCAGCAGATGGGAGTCCTCACCACTGTGGGCTTTCCCGTTCCAGTAGCCCTGAAATTCCAGAACTTGAGGGTGGGTGCTTGAATGACCACAGAATCCCAAAGTAGGCAATGTTTCTGGGGCACTGGGGGGCACTGGCGACACACACACACACACACACGCCTGAGGGCCACACCTGCAGCTCCAGCCAGCTTGGTGGCTGTGTCCGTGTCCCGTTGACGAAGGTCCTCCGGAGCCGCTCCTCACAGTATGGGGCATAGCCAGGTGGTCCCCCGTGGATGAAGTTCCGCAGGTACTATGGACAGAGGACCAGCTGAGGGGGCCCCACTCCAGCCTCCCTCGGCCTCCCCACCTGTGAGATAGTCTGGGACCTGGGACCCTCTACCGGAGTGCTTGCACCTGGACAAACGTCTCCTCCAACAATAAAATACAAAGAAATCAAAAGGGACTAAAAACTGCACACATGTGCGGTCAGGGCAAGTACGAACAATAAGATACAAAAAGGCCACAAACCAATTGCCAGGAGAAAAGCAGGGAACCGCCCATGACCCCTGCACACAGCACCACCAAGGGGGTGGGCAGACCACCTAAGTCCCCCCTCCAGCCCGACCCACCAATCCGCCACCACCCTCACCTCGTTTAAGGGACCAGCCCGCCCCCGCTCAGGGAGTGAGCAAGGGCCCCTGTTTCTTGTTCTCACTCCCTCGTGCTAAAGCAGCGTGAGTCCCAATAAAGCCTTGCCTGAATTTCTTGTCTGACCTCTTATCAACTTCTATCGATTAAAGAGGACCCAGGTCGGTAACCCCCGGACCATCAGAGCAGCCTCGCCAGGTCTCCTGCCTCTGGTCCCTCCACCCACACTGAACCCACTCCTCAAGGCCCATCCATTCCCGTCCCTCCTCGGCTTTCCGGGCCTCCCCACTGTCCTCCAGATCAAGTCCACCTCCCTCACGTTTGGCAGCACGGCCACCGTGATCCGGCCCCACCTAGTCTCAGCTGCACCTCCTGCCTCACCCCACACACCATACCCCCTTCACCCAGCTTGACTGCTCCTCTTCCTCCAGGGCGCACCTCCCTGAGCCCTCCCTCTGTGCAGCGCTGACCAGCTGGGTTGATCCAGCCGTCACCTGCTCTGCCTCTGTGTCCCCAGCACCCAGGGCCTGACACTGAGGAGGAGTCACGAAAGGGCCTGAGATGAACGGAAGTGCTTCAGACCAGCATGTGGAGGGTCTAGGGGGCGCTGTTGTCAAGCTCAGCATCCGCATAATGAAAATGGGGCTCGGAGGAGATGGAGTGCAGTGGTGGGTGCCCAGGAGGAGGGGGCCTGCGGACGTGGGGAGGCCTGGGAGGAGATGACCCGGGCAGGGCCTCATTGCCAAGCCCCTCTGAGTTTCCTCCCCGTGCTCTGCCCCTCAACCCCAGGGACCGGGCGCGGCTCCCCTTCCCACCCCCGGAGGCCAAAAGCCTCCCCTACCTTAACGAACTTCTCAGAGGGGGCGAAGCAGCCCACGCAGAGGGACACGAGGATCCAGCCCCGGGCGTAGCTGCTCTTGGAGGGGTTGTGGGTGAGCTGCTTGCTGATCTGGCAGTAGATCTCATCCCTAGGCGGGCGGGGGTGGGGGGCAAGGACGGGAGACGCACTGCCTCAGAGGGAAAGCCCCACCCCTCCCAGCAGCAGGTAGGATGCTTGCTCTCCCACCTGGGAGGAGGCAGGTGAGGCCAGGTGGGGAAGGCTGAGCCCAGGGCTCTGCGGCTACCGCAGAGGGTCATCAGGCAGGAAGCACGCACGTTCCTGACTCCAGTCCAGAGTCCACGGCCGGGGCCCCGTGATCCAGAGGGTGGTGCATACCCTGCTCCTGGGCACAGCGGCCTCAGTCACTGGTGACCACTTCGATGAGAAGCACAGGCTCCCCACGTGCCTCCTCCCTCACCAAGCTGCACGGCCTGGGCAGGTGAGTTCACCTCGGAGCCTGGCCCACAGACACGGCATCAGGTACAATTTCTACTAATGGTAACTGGCAGAGCAGAAACAGCAAGGACAGCTGGGGAGTTTCTCTGGGGGATGGAATGACGTTCTCTTGATATAGTGCTATAATATTTGAATATTTAAATGGCCATGCTTTACTTCTGCAATCAGATTAAAGCAATGAAGGTAGATTTTCGTTTTGTTTTCATTTTAAAGGGAAATGATACCACCCCTTCCTTACAGGATTTCTGTGAAGAAAAATGAGCCAAGGCTTATACAGCACCTGGCACGGTACCCAGCACAGTAAAACCCCCGCAGATGACAGCCTAGCTGCAGCTGTGAAGATGCTGCATGCCCCCTCCAGGGCCAAGGGCGGGCGGGACCCACCAAGATGGAGTGACCACCAGGGGGCACTAACTGCTGCTCCTCCCTCTGTGAAGGGCAGGTATCTAATTCAGTGGCTCCCCGATTTTGAGAGCTCATGGACCAATGCAACCTCAAAATAAATTGTGGACGTCGCTAACTTATTATCAAGACAATAAGGATATTTAAAACACACCACACACACAGCACCTGCCCACTATCTACCACAATCATTTTATAAAACAAATGTAATTTTAATATCCAAAAAGTAGGAAGGGCAAAATCTCAGAACAAAGAACAGTGCTTTAAATAAGTCAAATTTAGAAACATCCTTATTTCTCCCATCTTGCTACAGACCAGTGACAACTATCACCCGTAGCTGGGAGCCCCTGACTCCGTTCGTTTCATGGACAGGGAGACGGAGGCCGGGAGGAGGGAGGGATTAGCCATGGTCCCTCAGGGAGTTGGCACCCCAGGCTTCTAACGGTCCAGGGCTCCTGGCACTGTGTTCTCTAGAAGTACCCCTTTAGGTCTGATGGTGAGCTAACTGGGAGGCAAATTCTTGCCCTTAAACATACCTTGGGCAGCCACCTCTTCTTCCTGGAGGCTGGCGGCCCCAAGTGCTACATCTCTGGCGAGCGAGGTAGTCACTGGCCTCGAGGAGCAATGAAAGGGAGGCCAGTGACCCCTGGGCAAACCTCTTCCTCTCTGGACCTCATGTCTCCCACTGGGAAAATGACACTTGACCTCCCCACCCGGCCCATCCTGCTGTCCTCCCAGCCAGCACACACAAGTTCACGGGATCAGCTCTCCTAACCAGCCATCCCGTGCAGATGGAGTTCTCAGAGAAACCCTATCTGCCTTCCCTCCGCTGATGCAGCTGAGTTGATTCCGTAACTGCTCCTGGAAAGTCATGCATCATCGCAGCTCCTCCCCAACACCCCAGGGACCTGAGCAAAGGCCTCTCCTGGGCCTGTGTGGGGAAGGAGCCACTTGCAGGATCCCAGGCATTCTGACCACAGTAACCCTGATCACGGGCCTGGGCTGGGTCACCGAAGGTGCCGGCAGGGATAGGGTTACAGCAGAAGATGCATGTCAGATAATGCTAACAACAGCTACCGTTTACCGAGTGCCACTGTGTAGGTCCTGTGTCACACTTTCCATAGTTTTATCTGCCCACAAGCCTACAAGGTAGGTACTTTTATTATTCCATCTTTACAGATGAAGAAACTGAAGCTTACAGAGCTGAAATCACTCTACCAAGGTCACACAACCAGCTAGCAGCAGAGCTAAACCCAGGCCTGCTTAGCTTAATCAGTTGCTAAAGTGACAGAGCCACCACTCAGCCAGCAAAAGCCTTTCAGGTCTGGAAGTGCGGGATGCCTCCCCGATAGCTGTCCCCTCCCTGTGCCCCTGCCCCTCAGGCACTGACCGGAGCGCTGGCCGCAGGATGCCGTTGCCAATGATGAAGTGCAACTTCTCCAGGTTGGAGGTGGGCCGGTCCTCCAGCATGCTGTTGCCCTGCACCGTGGACTCTCCGTCATGCAGCCTCTTGGTCACCTGGGCCACAGGGAGGGGCAAGGCTTGACCAAGGCTTGGCCGGGGCCCTGCTGTTTCCCTGAGTCTGCCCACTCCCCCAGAGAGCAGAATCCTGGGAGTAGCCAGAGAGCTGGCTCCCCACCACTGTCATAGCCCCGCCCGTGCAGAACAGATGCTCGGTGGATGCCTGGCCCGGGGCTACGCGCTTCTGGGATAAGGCTCCTCTGCAGCCTCCTTGACATCTACCCCCAGCCCTGCCCCAGGGAAGTCCCCTCATCCAGGCCAGGGGCTCCTCTGACTCCTGATGGGATCCCTCTCTCTCTGAGGTGGGCCACGCACCACTCCGACACCCAGAGTACACCTGGGTTCCAAACACCCGGCCACCATCACCTGTCATTAACTCCCTGGCTCCTGTGTGAATAGCCTTGGACCTGGGTTCTTATAGATGGGCTTTTCCTCTCTGGTTCCACATGTGCCACAACGCCAGCCCCGCGCTCTGCCCAGAGACAGGGTGAGTGGCGGGAGCACGCCCCTGCAGGCAGTCCTCATGTCTGCTGAGCACCCACGGCCATCATCTCACTCCATCATTCCAGGAAGCCACTAGCAGGCATTTTCTTCCCTGGGTGCCTTGGATACCGAGCAGTGGAGCTGGGACTCAGATCTGGGGTAACATAGCTACAAGACTGGATTGGAGCCTCAGATGGGGAACAAAATGAGGACAAAGACAAAGCAGGCTGAGGAAGCCCAGGAGAAGCAGCCTGACTCTGCTGTAGAGGGGAAGGCTTCCTGGAGGAGGTGACCTCCCCAGGCACAGAAGAGGAAGGAGGAAGTTTAGGCAGAGGGACTGGTGTGCACAAAAGCAGGGGCATGAGGAACCAGTCCCTCTGCACCATGAATGCCTTAGTTTGTGTCTGTCGGCCCTCCCAGCCTGGACATTCCTGGAGCAATGGGCCAGGACGGTGCTCAGAAAACACAAGGTGACTAAATGAATGACAAACAAACTAATAGTGTTAATGCCCCATGGGCACTGTTATCCCACAGAAAATTCTCATTGACTAAAAGGTCCCTGGATCAGGGCTTCCCTGGGGGCGCAGTGGTTGAGAGTCCGCCTGCTGATGCAGGGGACACGGGTTCGTGCCCCGGTCCGGGAAGATCCCACATGCCACGGAGCGGCTGGGCCCTTGGGTCATGGCCGCTGGGCCTGCGTGTCCGGAGCCTGTGCTCCACAACGGGAGAGGCCACAACAGTGAGAGGCCCGCGTACCGCAAAAAAAAAAAGTCCCTGGATCAAAAGCATCGGGTCCATGCCCTGGCATGTCCTCCCTCTCACCATCTGCCACTCCAGCCCTCCCCAGCTCTCGTGGCCCATCTTCCAGGAAGCCTCCCTGACCGACCCCAGCCTGAGAACAGCGCCCTCTTCCTTGCATCCTGTCTGCCTGATCACATCCAACGCTGTCCTGCTGGCCACCCTGGTCCCCTGAGGACAGGCAGTATCCACTCCACTCCCGTCCCTGTTGGTCCCAAGCCCAGCCTTGCCCCAGCCTGGGCCACCAAGGCCGTGCAGGGTCTTTTCTGACCTCCTCTGTCAGTTTGGACTTCTTCTTCAAGGTCAAGTGCACCAGTTTGTGCCTCACGCTGCTCTTCTTCTGCCCCTCAGGGAGCTGGGCCTGCCGGACAAACAGGGGTCAGAGTCAAACGACTGGACCGAAAGTAATGACAAGAGCAGTTGACAATGTGGTTAGAATTGTCTCACCTCCACACTAACGTGTATCACCCCAGCCCATCAGCCCAGTGACAAATGGGAAAACTGAGACTGAAAAGCGTAGTAACCCACCCACCGCCTCCCAGCAAGTCAAAATTGAAGCTGGCTCTGACTGCAAAGACTGTCTGCCCTGCCACGTGGCCTCAATCGTGGTTAGCACTTTACAGTTTATATCAAGCTCACACTAATCGTTCCCAGGAGTAGACAGAGGAGGGCAGGGGTCAGGGAGGTGAGGCAGAGGCAAATTTTGGGGTGCTCCTTCTGCTGGGGACCTTAAGGCTGGGGGTGGCCTGGAAGGGACCCTGGCCAGAGGGCACCTGCGACTCACCTCGCCCTCGCCCTGCAGGGCCTGAAGCTCCCTCTTGTATGTTTTCTTGCCCAGAGTCTCATAAATCTTGGTCATCACGGGAATCTTCTCGCTGCCGTCACTCATGGCCGTGTGGTACTTGGGCTCAGGGAGGTCCCCCATGAACCGGAGGACAGTGATCCAGACCGCCAGGGCCGCCTGGGGACAGACCCAGGCCAGTCAGAAAGTCTGAGCGCAGGATGCGGCTGAAGCCATCAAAATGACCCAGGGGTGGGGGAGAGGCTGGGGAACCCCGCTCCCGCCAACCGGAGGAGGACCACTGAGCTGAGTGCCTTGTGGGCGTTCCTCAGGGCCTTGCCCTGTGGTCCGGCCGCAGGCTGGGTGCGGGATGAGGTCAGCCCTGGTCCCTGCACAGCTGGGCCCCAGCCCCTCGGCACCCGCGCTGCCAGCACAGACAGCCCCAGCCCTCACCAGCTGGTCGCCCTCATCGTCGTGGTACAGCAGCGGCTGCTTGAGTGGCCGCCGGGTGTAGGTGTGCGTGGTCGTGCCCTGGAAGTAAGTGGCAGCGAACTTGGCGAATTTATAATCGGAGAGGTCTTCCTCATCCTCATCAGGCAGGGGCAGGGCCGCATCCAGGTCTTCCTCCACCATCTCCCTCCGCCCGCGCTCCAGGTCCTGGGGAGGCAAAAGGGGTTCCCTGCCATAGGGGCAAACGGGGCTGGGCTGCAGCCCCCCAGCCTGTCCCTGTAGGGCCAGCTCTTCCTCCAGAAGTATAGGGTGCTGTTCATCCTGTTCACTCCCCAGACAGAGCCAGTGCAAGGTAGATCCTCAACACGTGAACGAATAAAGGTTTGTGAATGGCCCTGGAGGGGAACAGTGATTGGCCCAAGGTCATAGGGCAGGCTGGTGGCTGGACAGGGCCTGGGACTGCAGCCCCGTCCCAGGTCATCACAGCTGCCTTCTGCTCAGAGGGGACCACGTGGACTTTAACACAGAGGGGCGCAAGAGGAGGGACAGCACCACACTGGGGCCTGTTCCAGCCCCTTCCCCAGCTTGGTACCTCGAAGCCACTAGGTGCCTGGCCCTCCTGGCCTGGCAGGCTGCCCGAAGTCCCCAGGAAGCCAAACATCTTGTCCACCATGTCCGAGTGATTGATGGGCTCGTGGCGGGCCCTCTCCATCTGCTCCAGGAGCTCCTTCTTCCGCCGAGACTCCTCCTTCTCCTTCAACTCCCGCTCTGCGTCCTCACGGGCCAGCTGGGCCAGGCGCTCCTGCGAGGTGGGGGTGATGCAGCGTCAGGGAGCAAGCCCCCCGTGGGGAGCCCACTGGAGCCCCTGCAGCAGCCAGGCCAGAGTCCCAACCTCCTCGGGGCCCTCCTGACCGCTGGGAAGGACAGAGCCTCGGGCCTCTCCACCCTGGGACACACCAGCTCATCCCTCACAGCTCAGTGCAGACAGATGCCCGGTGCTGAGCCAGAGACAGCTCACAACAAGCTCAGACAGTAACGTCACCTGCCTGCCTCGAGGCTCAGCTGGGACCACCTCCTCCAGGAAGCCTGCTCAGGTCTCCCCACCCGAAAGGGACCACACCAACCCCAAAATACAAGAGCCACTGGGTATAGGCTCTAGACCACCGCCGTCCAATAGAAATATAATGCAAGCCACATACGTAGTGGCTACATTCAAAATAGTTTTTCAAAAAATAGGTTAGATCAACTTTAATAATGTATTTCATTTAACCCAATATTTCCAAAGTATTATCTTGACATGTCATTAATATTAAAAAATAGTACTGAGATATTTTATATTCCTTTTTTTTTTTTTTTTTTTAACTGAGTCTTCAAAATCTAGTGTGTAATTGGGAATTCCCTGGAAATCCAGTGGTTAGGACTTGGTGCTTTCAGTGCCGTGGGCCCGGGTTCGATCCCTGGTCGGGGAACTAAGATCCCACAAGCCTCACTGCGTGGCCAAAAAGAAAAAAAAGAAAAAGAAATCAAGTCTGTATTTTGCACTGACGATGCTTTGCCCTTTCGAGTGCTCTGTAGCGATGCATGGCTGGGGGCTCCCACCCCAGCTCAGGCTGTTTATCCTGTTACAACACAGCTGAGGGCCTGGACCCGCTCGCCCTGGAGCCACAGCCCTCTGGCCTGGCACAGAACAGGCACCCAGCGCACGAAGGAAGGTCGCGTGGACAGAGGCTGGACAGCCGGCGTTGGCTGAGGGCTGCTGAACCAGTGAATGGATGTCTAAGGAGTCGGCACATCCCCATCTCACCTGATGCTTGCGTTCAGCCTCCTCCTTGGCCTTTTTGGCGCTCATCTCCTTCCGGAGCTTCTGCTCCTCCGCCAGCCGCATTTTCTCAGCCTCCAGGCGCCGCAGGTACTGGGGGAGGGGGCGGCAGGGTGCGCACCAAACCGTGTGTGACCCTCACGGTGCTTCCCGCCAGCTCGACCCCACCCCACCCCGGCTGAGTTCTGGGACTGGGAATGACTTTGCCAAATAATTTGGTAGAGGGAAACTGAGGCACATGAGAACCCCTCCAGGTGCCACAGCGGGTTGGGGGCACCGCTGATGCCAAAGCCCAAGCAGGTTCGCCTTGGCCTCCCAAAGAGTCACAACAGGGACTGGGCCCCTGCCCTGCCCGGAAAGAGGGAAAGGAGGGAGCCAGTCTTGTGCGTGCCTCCAAAGAGGTAGAGCCCTACATCCCCACCCCCCGACAGGCTCAGGCCACACGTGGGGGCGATATGTCTGCCCGAGGTGGAAGAGCACCCCTCAGAGGACACAGCTCTCACAGGGCTCAGAGCTGTGGCCGCTGTGGACCTGGGACCCTTACCTCAGCCCTGAGGCGCCGGTGCAGCCTGCGGGCGATCATGCCCCGGGCGTAGGCCTGCACGGTGATCACAGCCCAGAGGCGATGACGGAAAGCCCTGCGCACCAGGTAGGCGCGGCAGCGGGCCTGGAACCCGATGATGCGCCGGCGGGCCAGGCAGTACTGCTGGTGCAGCTTCCGGGAGCGGTGCAGGGCTTGCAGCCGCAAGAAGCCCAACCGCATCTGCAAGGATGGCCGCCTGCTGAGAACCAGGGCCCTGATTCCAGACCAACCCTGCCCATTGGAGGTCACTGCCCCGGGCTCCACTCTCCAACCTGCATGCCCCGAAGGCCCAGCTGTCTCCTCTCAGACCGAAGTTTCCCAGGGAGTGGCCTTGGCTTCCCCTGTGATGCGGTCCCCCAGGAGACTCCCATCCTCAGACCAGGAGTGGGCCTCCTTCCTGTCCACCTCCCCAGCCCCAAGGCCAGTTCCTTCACAGGGGTCCATGGGACACACCCGTTCCTGGCCCCCTCTGAGGTGTTTAATAACCCAGGTGTTCATCACCCACCAAAACATTCCAGAAGAAAAGCACAAACACTGCTGACCAGATGGGGAGAGCTGCAAAAACCAGATCGGACTTTGGGCTGGAGGAATGGTAGGGGCTGGCAGGGTGGCAAGAGGTCAGCCAGGCCCCGCAAACAAGTAAGTCCTGCTGCTATGGCAACAGGGCCAGGTTCAAAGGCTTCGTGAGGCAACAAGCAGCTCCCTCGAGGAGGCTCACCAGCCCATAGTTCTTCCTGCAGTTGTGGCCCCGCCAGTGCCTCTGGATCAGCGTGGCAGCGCTCTTCAGCTTCAGGAAGTTGGACCTAAAACAACAGTGTGATGCAGTCGGACCTCTGCCAGGGCCTGGGGGGCGGGGCTTGGAATTAGGAGAGCAGGGCTGAGTCCCAGCTCTGCGTCTCCTTGGCTCCATGACCTTGGGCAAAGGCATAAAACTTCTCTGCACCTCAGCTTCCTTATCTGTAAAATGCGCAGAATGATACCTGCCCTGCCTACCTCACAGCCTCGTCACATAAACCCGGTAAGGTGGACATTCAGAAGGTTACTCGTGAATAAATGTATGAGTAGTCAGTAAATAAAGATTAAACACTTTGAAAACTGTAAACGTCACTTATTACTGAGTACCTAACTCCCTCATTTTATAGGTGAGGAAACTGAGACTTGATGAGGTTGGGCTGGAGCCCTCGTCTCCTGACTGACTGGGCACCATGCTTTTCCCTGTGTACACTAGGCAGCTTCTACAGGCCGACAGTCACCTTCAACCTGATGGAGGACAAGAGACCACACATCAAACAGCAGGTGTCCCCCGAACGTAGAAATAAATAAGGGAGGAGTGAAGGATGGCTATGTCAGTGTGGGTGAGCCAGCAAGCCAATTCCTGGATACACGCACAAACGAGGGCACAGCCGTGGGACGAGGGACAAGTTGATGGACAGACAGGTGGATGGATGGACAAAGGATGGCTGGACAGATGGACAGACAGACGAATGGAGGGTCAGGTGGATGGATGTACAGATGGATGGATGGACAAAGGATGGCTAGACAGATGGACAGACAGATGGACAAGTGGGTGGACAGATAGAGGAAGGGAGTGACCAGATGAACTGCACAAGATGCAGGCTGTGGGATTTTTGTGGAGCCTGAATCACACTCCAGAGTCAGCCCTGCCCATCTGAGAACTGACACAGCTGTACACATGCCCCTTACATGGAATATGGGACACACTTTGTTACTCACAAAATCTCAAATTTCCTCTTTGGGAAATTTCATCGGGCATCTGAGACCAACAGAGGGTCCACTTGTGTGCCTTATGTACCCACGTGTGCAAGCCTGTGTGTAGGTGGGGGTACTGTGTTACTGGGCACGGGGGCACAGATGGGTCCACGTGTCTGAGTGTTCAACCCTGTTCGCATGACCCTGTGGGCATGCTGTGCACGTGTGTGCATGTTTCTGTGTGTGCACATGGGTGTTTATTCCGTGTTCACGTGGGAGGAGCGGAGGTGAGCCAGGCACACGCACACACACACACATGCGGGCTGAGGTGGGGAAGAGCTGGTCCAGGTACGAACCTGTCTTTGAAGCCCCGGATGACCTTCTGGAGGAGGATGACTCTGTCAGTGATGGCCTTGTCCCGCTCCACCTCTAGCAGCATGTCATGGTGGTCCTGGAGGGCAGAGCTCCTGAGCGGCGCCCCTACCAACCTCTCCAGTCCCAGAGCTGAGGCCGCCCCAGGTGGGCCCCCTCTTCCTTCACTCAGAGCCCAGGCCTAGGGCTCATTTGGGCCCCAAAGGCTCCCAACCCTGCCCTGGCCCCATGGGGCAGCTTCTCACAGCCACAAGTACAGACAGGTACTGTCGTGGTGGGTGCCAGAGACCTGGGAGGGACAAAGGAAGCAGGGGGCACCTAATTTGACTGCATGGGGTCGGGGGCCCAACACGCACACACACTGGCTTCATCCTATGGCCATCTCTACCCAAGTCCCAGCTCTTCTAGGTTTCTCTGTCACATCAGCCCCTGGCCTGGGCCAGGCCACCATCGTTTCTCTCCAGGACGTTAGAAGCAGCCTCCTAACCAGTCTCCTGTCCTCTGTTGCTCCCCCTCTGGCCTTCCCTCAAGGACAGATCTCACAGAGATACCCCACCGTCTCCCGGGGTCAAGCCTGCTCTCCTCCCCTGGCACCCGGGTCCTCTACCATCAGGCCCTACCCACTTCTCCAGCCCCCTCTCCTTCTCACCCCTGAGCCCCTAACCCTCACTCCAGTTGGACAAAACTCATGGTTGATTCAATACATGAATCAAATATCTCCATGTGCCAGCCATGTGCTAAGTGCCAGGGTGAGGCTGCAATGAACCAGGCAGACCTGGGCCCCTCCCTGGGGAGTCTCAGTCTGGTGGGGGAGGAACACGCATCAGATAATCGCAGGACACATCACCTGGGGACAGGGCCCGGCACAGACGGGCTGCTTAGCCAAGGCTTTGTGAACGAGGGAGGGAACGAATGAGAAGCAGATTTTGGGGTCTAGAAACCACTACTGGTTTCTGAAGAGCCCAGAAAAGCGAGGGTGTGGAGGATGGGGACAATGACATCTCTGGGACTAGATGCCGTCATGCCGCATGCCTTCCCTCCCTTACCCATGTGGGCTGGGCATCAGAACCACAGTCTGGAAGCCCTGCTCTCCATTCCAGGGTAGCGCCTGACCATGGGCACCTCACCTCTACGTGCTAAGCCTCTGAAACGGGCATAATAATTCTACCTCACGGGCTGCTGTGATGACTAAATGAGTGACGATGGACAAAAAGCCCCCACTGGGGCCTGGCCCACGGAACGTGTTCTCCAGGTGGCAGTTGTGAGACACACAGGCGGGGAACAGTCAACACATTTTTCCGATGAGGAGATGAAGGCTCAGAGATATGAAGGCACCAGCCCAGGCCCCTCAGCCAGGGAGGAATTAAACTAGATCCCAGGACTCCCTCCAGCGCAGGGCTGGCTCCCCCGTTCCCTCTCCCCAGCTGTCCTGGGCTGCCTGGGCCCACCCTATGCAGAGGAAGGAGCCCTGCCCCATCACCCAGGACAGCCAGAAATCTAGAACAGCAGAAACGGAAATGGAGAAGCTAGCGCTCACGCTGTCCCTGCTCTAGCTGTCCCGTCTCCACCAGCTCCAGCAAGCTCCCCCGGCCCAGCTTCCTGCTCCCAGCCCTGCCCCCTCCCTGACCGCCCAGCCCCCAAAGTCCTGCCCAAGCTGTGGTGGGAGCCAGAGGGCCCCAGGTGTCTGCTCGGGGAGCGCGAGAACAGGCCCGGGGGCACCAGAGAGCAAGGTGAGTAGCACACGGCTGACCACAGCCTAGCATGAGCCCCGCCTGGCAGGAAAAAAGGGAATAGACCAAAGGTACACTCAAGAGCCCCCTACCACAAGCACATCCCATTTTACAGATGGGAAAGTGAGGCTCAGACACGGCCAGTGACCTGCCCAAATTCCCAGGACAGACAACCACAGGGTCAGGACTGAACCCAGGCCTCCCTGATGAGCCCACCTCTGGCCTTCGGTTTCCTCACCCGGGGTCACTGCTCCAACCCCATCTCCAGGTCATAGATGCTCTCAAATACCAACTGCCCCTCCACTGCCCGCTCCAACCAGCCACAGCTGCAGGGCAGGAGGGTCACAAAGGCCCAGCACTGACCCCATTCGGTGCTGCAACTCCTCTACAGCACACCCCTAGGACCTGTTCCCACCATGACGGGGAGCCCACAGCCCCGTCAAGGCAGCCGGATTCAGAGGCCGTGCTCACTTTCAGAAAAATCTTGGTTTTGCCAATCTGCCAGTCATCGTGGGTGCCCAGCACAGCCTCAGCCATGCGCTGACATGTCCCCTGAAGGTCATCCTGTGGGGTACATAAGAGAATGGGTGGCCCCACCCGTGGAAAGGCCACCTGGTGTCCCTCCCAAGGCTGGGAGGCGGGGCTCTTGCTCCAGCTCTGGCCCTAACTCTGTGTGGTCGCAGCCGGGCCCTGCCGTCTCTGACACTCGCTTTTCTCCTTAGCTCGGCCCGGTGATTATAAAACCCTTGCCTCCAGCTAAGAGCCAGGGCCCACTCACCACACGTGTTAAGTCCACACCAGCCGAGCGTGGCGATGGAAGCTCTCAGATGCACTCCACTGCCTGACCCCAATTTTCCCAGCCATACCTGAGGGGGCCGAGGTGATGTCACGCCCAGCACACTGTTCCAAGGACCCGCCCGCCCATGCCCCCAGCTCCGTACCTGCTTGTAGGCCGGCTTCACGCCGGGCAGCAGGACTCGGTACCGCTCCACGAACTCCACGAAGCTGTAGCGGATGGGGTAGCCGGCTCGGCGGATTCGGATAGTCTCCATCATGCCCGAGTACCGCAGCTGGCGCACACACAGGTGCCGGTCGAAGAGCTGCCGAGCAAGGAGCCAAGGGCGTCGGGGCTGGAGGCCCCCGCTGGGAGGCCAGCCCTGCTCTGTATTTTCCTGGCCCCAGACAAAGGCCCCGAGAGGCCAAGGTCACACAGCAGATGAGGAGCAAAGGCGGGACCACACGCCGCTCTGCAGTCCAAACCCCACGGAGCAGCACGGAATGAGGCCCTCAGGTGGGGTGAGCTGAGTGCTTTGAGGGCACAGGGGACAGACAGCTTAATTCCCCTTGGGACCTCTCGAGGGGGCTTCGTGGAGGACCTTTGCTCTGACCCTGACAGGAGAGAGGGTGCTGGAGGAGTTAGCTCAGGCAAAGGTGAGCAAGCCTGAAAGCACAGGACATGTTGGGGGATTTTATGGGGACTGAGGAGGCTAATCTATGCCAGGATTATGGCTGTGCAGGTGGTGGGTGCCTTGTACAACCCCAGGGGTCGCCCTTCATATTATAGCCATCTTAGATTGATAGTTTTTCAGACAGCTTTCTGGCTGCTGACAACAAAGTACCTTCCTTAAGAAAGAGATACATTTTTCTAATTGGCACAAAGTCATTTTTGTGATAGCAGCAGGGTTGTTGGATGGGCTGTGAAGGACCTGAGAGACCAGGCTAGGGAAGCAGAAGGTGACCGGGTCAGATTTGTGTTTGAGAACCATGTCTCTCACTGCAATGGGGAGGAGGACGGGAGTTGGGGGCAGGAGGCAGGAGGCCCAGGGAGGAGGTCCTGCAGCCAAGGGCCAGGCCACAGATGCTGAGGTCAGCCCAAAGAAGGTTCCAGAGGCATCTGAGAGCAAGAGAGATGGTGCCCAATTACAGGGCCCTGGCCTCGGTCCCCTGGACCTCCTGCCTTAGAGGGGAGCCCACTGGAGCCCTCTGTGACTCTCCCTGAAGACCCCGTCCCGATCCCCAGGGGGACTGGCCAGCCCACTCTGGGGAACGTTTCCAGGCAGGGGACAGGGGACAGAGTTAGCATGCGGAAGGCTGGCTGCCGCCACCTGTTTCCTCTCCCTACAGGCACTTTCCCTGGCCCAGTACTGGCCTCCCGCCTTCCGTCCCTCCCCAGACCCTCAGGCCCCAGCTTCCCCTGGGCCTCCCCTCCTATCTCTGGGAAGAGGCTTGTGGTAAACAACACCTCCCAGAGCTGGGGAAGGAGAGGGCTCCCAGGGAGGGGCGGCCCAGGCTCCTGGATCTGCAGCCTCAAGCCCCTCAACCTCCCTGAGCCTCTGCTTCCACATCTCGAACACGGGGCCATAAACGTCCCTCCCTCCTGGGCTGTTGGGAAGGTTAAATGAGGCTCTGGAGAGACAACCCATTCTGCTCCGGACACACAGAAAGGGCTCAACAGATGTTATTCAGAAAAGCCAAAAACGAAAATGTTCCCAACCAGTCAAAGGAATCCAGGAAGGGTTCCAGGAGGAGGTGGTCATCGGCTGGACCAAAGGAGAGAAGGCTTTCAAAGTCAGGGCCACAGCAAGAAACACAGCTGCCATTTACTGAGTGCCTTCCTAGGCGCCAGGCAGTTTGCATACATTATTACATGGAATACCCCCAGGAGGTGGGTACGATCAGTCCCATTTCCATCTGTGAGGAAACTGAGGCACGAGAGAATGAAGTGACGTGTCTACAGTCACCCAGTGAGAAGGTGGTGGAGTTGGGATTTGAGTCTGGCTCGAGCCCACGACTACAGAGTCCAGGCTCTCTCCAGGGCACCTGCTGCCTCCAGTAAACAGGAACTTTGCTCTTTAAGCCCCTCAGGGGCCCTGCCGTTCCCCACAGAGCACAAAGTCTCACATGGCGCAGCCCCCCCCCACCCCCCAGGCTGGCCCTATCTGCCTCCCCCTTGCCCCCTCCCAGGCCAGGGCTGCTCACCATGGGCTTCTTGAACTCGTTGGGCTTGATGCAGCGCACGAAGAAGGGCTGGCAGGCACCCAGCGTGCGCATCAGCAGCTCCAGGGACCGCTTGAACTGGCTGCTGAGCGTGGGCGAGCGCTTCCTGGTCTCGGCGCCCTGGGGGGATGGACCACAGCGATGGGAGGGGCTGACCCGTACCCCTCCAGCCCTCCGGAAGGGAAGCAGGAGAGGAGAGGTCAGCTGGTCAAGGGCCTGAGGGAGAGCCGCCCAAGGAAGCAGGCTGGCCAGGCACATGGGTTTTCCTGTGACCCGCCTGGTCCGCGCTGGAGCTTGGATCCCAGACGCACCCCCTTCTGGAAAGCCTCCCTGATCCTGGGCCCAGGAGCGCGGCACACGCCCTGGTGTGCTGGATGACTCTGGGCAAGACGCAGCCCCTCTCTGAGTCTCCACCCTCCCTTCCCAGTATAAATGAGTGACCAGACTTGGTCGCCTCAGGACGATGGGGTCATCTCTAGAGACGGGTGAGACAGACCTAAATTCAAACCCTGGCTCACCACCTCGGAGTCCCGTGATTTTAGGCAGGTCACTAAGCAACACTGAGCCTGTCTCCTGAATGGGAATAGTGCCACCTATCTAGCTGACCAGGCTGTGAGAGTGTCTCAGTAAACAGCAGCCCGCGAGGGCGGCGGTGCTACCTACACCCTCTGCCCTCCCTGTGGGATTAGCAGGTCAGCAGCAGGGGGGCGGGGCAGACCCAGATAAGCCCCTAAGAAGGCCCGAGCTGGCATCTGGCCGCGTCCAGCACCAAGGCCCAGGGGCCCCGTGCTCCACCAGCCACCATCTGGGTGAGCCGGCCAGCGGCCCCCTGCACCTCCCTGCCCTGTTGGGGTCCCCCTCTCAGAAGACTAGGAAATGAGTTGGGGTCCTGGGGGAGGACCTGAGCAACAAGCAAACAGGAAGCAGAACCTCTCAGACCAAGAAATTGGACATAGAAACAACATTCGATTCCAAAGCATTTTGATGTTATTGTTTTCCTGGCAATTTCTTTGGGGTGAGGATGTTTTAACTAGTGAATTTGATTATTATTGTAAGATTTTATATTTTAAATGAGTCATCATTTTATCTGATATCCTGTAGCACCAAAACCCAAGGATGCAGATGTCAACGTGTGAGATATGGGGGGAGGGAGAGGCATTTAACCCCTTCTAAAGTTAGACCACACGCCCCCGGAATGAAATGAAACTTGCCAAGAAACAGCAAATGCTTGCTCTTCTGAAATTTGCCATGTTTTCTGTTTTAGTATTATCTGGAACACATTCTAGGATTTTGCCAAGAGAAGCTGAGGAGTATCTGCACTGGGGTAGGGTGAATGTCAGGTCTTCAGCCCCCAAGTCTGCCCCAGAACCTGATCCAGCAGTAGCACTGGGTGACCCCCAGTTGGGGGGGAAGCTGTCCAGGGTGGGCTGTACACAGCCTGCATTAGAGGCCTTGCCAGGAGCACGTGTGTGCACACACAGCACACACACAGGCACACACAGCACACATAGACACACAGACACATAACACACAAATGTACACACAGACACACATATACACACACGCCACCCACAAATACACACGGCACACACACACCAGACACACACACGGCACACACATACACACACCACATACACAGAAATACACACACAGAGCACACCCGCACACACAGCATGCACACATGCACAATACACACAAACAACACACACACATAGGACACACCCTTCTTCGGTTTCGATCAGCACTATGGAACCACTTTCTGTCTGTCTTCCCTGCTGAGCTGTGAGCCCCGTGAGAACAGGCGGGTCTGCCTAGTTTACTGCTGTGCCCCAGGGCCCAGCAACAGCAACAATCAACAACACTTTGCTGAACTGAAGTGGTGCTGAACTCCGAGAAATTGTCCCACTGCTCAAGCCACAGATCTGGGAACCATTCCCAGCTCCTCCTCTCTCATATCCAATATGTCAGCAAATCTTATTGGCTCTACCTCCAAAATGGACCCAGAATCTGACCCCTTCTTACCACTTCCTCCACTGTCAGCCTGGTCCAAGCTGCCTGCATGGCTCTCTCGTTATTGCAATAACCTCCAAACCGGTCTCCCTGTTTCTGTTGCCCACTCTCCACACCACCCTCCACTCCACTATCGACACAGTGATAGTGAGGCTGTTAAAACACAAACCCAGTCATGTCTGCCCTCCCCCAACCAGCTCAAAATCCTCAGTGGCTCCCCAGTTCACTCAGCATGAATGCCAAGGTCCCTTGTAAGAACCCACCCCACAGGACCTGGTCCCAGTTACCTCCAGCCTCTCCACCACTTTATTCCCTCCCTTCCAGCCACCCCTGCCTCCATGCTCTTCCCAGGGCAGGTTGGGGCTTAAAAAGCACCTTAGGGTTTGCAGTTGCTGTTCCCTCTCCCTGCGATGCTTTTCCTCCAGAAAGCACGTGGCTGGCTTCTTCACCTCCTCACCAACCTCTCAGTAAGCCCTCTCCTGATCCCCTATTCAAAACTGCAAAGCCCCCCCACCAGCACCCTTCCCACCTTCATTTTTCCCCATCTCATAAGTCACCATCTAAAATTATGTAATACACTTATTTGCTTGTTAACTATTTCCTCCTTCTGCTAGAGCACAAGCCCCACGAGGACAGAGGTTTCTTTCTGTTTTGTTCACTACTGTGTCCCCAGCACATATGACGCTGTCTGACATATAACAGGCATTCAGTAGGTATTTGTGACGGAAGGAAGGAATGAGTAAATGGGGTCTATGATCTCAGGATCTGCTCTCACTTCCCTGGCCACCTGGTTTCTGATTTGGTTTTATTTCATTGAGGGGAAAGGTCGTCTTTTCCGACATTTGTTGTTTTCTGGGATAATCTGCAGATAACTAGGGACGGGGTAAAGGCAGAAGTGAGAAGTCCAAAGGTCAGCGTTAAATGATGCCTCGGAGGGGATGTGAGGCACAGGCACCTGAGCATGATGTGATCGGGGCTGGGAAGTCACTGTCAGGAGGAGCCACCTGCATAAGGAGTGAACCAGCGTCCTGTGGACTCAGGGCACCCGGGTCATGTGCCTGGGGTTGGGGGTGGGGTGGTGTTCGCGCCCTGGAAGAGCTGCCCCGCTCTGCTGCTCCCTCCAGTAGCAACGATTGGGGTGGGGCTGCCCGGGGCGTCCTGAGGAGGCAGACACAAGAGTCAAAAGGGTAGAAATTCAGGGGCTGGGGACCTGCGCAGGACACAGGTCAGATCACCGGAAGGACGTGGGCCCTCACCCTAAAGAGAACGCTGCGGCTGGTACGCTGTCATCCAACAAACTGACTCAGCATCCACACTTCACCAAGCCCATTTGCTCATTCCTTTAACAGAGCTATCATGTTTCCAACAGTTACGAAGTATTTTTTTCTTTCTTTGAGGCAAAGCTTGCAGGTAGCACAGTACAGTGAAAAGGAGCAGGGACAAGAAAGCCTCACTGTAGCCCTCACTTGTACGTGACCTTGGCCAAGTCCCTGCACCTCCCTGAGACAGACCTGGAACCAATCCCTGTGTGTCACCAGCTGTGTGACTTCTAGCAAAGACCTTGGCCTCTCTGGGCCCCAGTTACTTTACCTGTAAGGTAGGGGCAATAGTAATTACTCACGGGGATGCCTAAGTGGGCCAGAAGAGTAGATGTAATTGGTATCAAATCTGTCACTGCCATGTTCTCATTCTGTGCTCCAAAAACTCCCTCGGGAGCGGGCCACTTCTGGACACCTCACAGTCTCACACTTGGACCTCTCCACGGTTCCTCAGCAAGTGGGTTCTATTCCCAGAGTTCAGGGAAGGGGGCTTAGAACAGGAAACTTCATGGAGAGGTCCTCACATGCCTCCACAGGCTTGGGAAAGAGAAGTAGGAGGAAAAGATGGGTTCAGTGTCTTCCGGGACTGCCCAAGACCAGGATGAGTGGGTAGGCCTGGTAGGGGCTGGGCTGGCGTCTACAGAAGGACAGGAGAGAGTGGGGGAGAGTCCAGAGCCACACCTGTGTCACCAACACTGCGACCGGCAGTTTGTGGGCTTCACGTTGGGGACTGCCGGTGCTGGAGCTCCAGGCGCCTGGGCCCCTCTCTGGTGGTGGCCCTACGTTCATCCCATCAACCGGCTGGGCCAGTGTTGGCCTGGGGCCGACTGTGGGCAGAGGACAGAGGCCTCCTTCCAGACGACCTCCCTGCTCTTGATGTGCTGGGGGCCCTGCACTACCAGTGGTTTTGTGATTTGTACCAGAACTCTGCAGGCAGCAGGCAGCAGGGGGATGCCACACATGCAGGAAGGAAGGGGGACCCAGCGTTAAGAGCGAGTGTGAAAGGATGTCAGCATTAGGCAGAGAGGAAACTGAGGGCTGAGAAGAGAAAAGGGAGGCGAAGGGACACCAGAGCTATGCTGCTGCTAAGGGTACCCAGCATCTTTGGGGCCCAAAGAGCCTTGGGAGCCACTCACGACCTGCAGCTGGTGGTCAGGACACACCAGGGATGGTGTTCCAGGGCCTAAGGAGGTCAGGGGGCAGGGAGTGGCTTCTAGTCCCAGCTCCCCCAGGTGCTGTGACTGGGAGTGAACCACACTCTATCTCTGAGCTTCAGTCCCCCATCTGCAAATTCAGAAAATAGTACCACCTGTCTCTCCTGATCTACAAGGTTAATCAGAGGATCTGACTGAGTCATGGACATAGAAACCCTTAGTAGGGCCTGATGGAAGGAGCAGGCCTTGATGCCTCCAAGAGACTCCGTGGAGGCAGAGAACTTGGGAGAGAAGGGTTCGAGTCCCAGCCCTGCCCCGATACACTGGGCAGGTCTCACACCTCTTTTTCTAGGGCTCAGTTTCCTCCTTTAAGAAACTGAGATGCCTGAAGTCCACACAACTCAGAAAACAAAAATCAAAGCACTCCACAAACCACTCCACAAAACGCACACTCCAAAACAATAAAGAAAAAAGGGCCCTTTCCCCAAGCCTCAGTGCCTCAGGGGCTGAGGACACAGCCCAGCCCCAAGGGCTGCTGAGGCCTCTCCCGCCATCCTCTGGCCCCGGGCTGGGGTCTTTTACCTTCGCAGAAGCCGCTGACTGGCGGAGAGTGCCCGATGAATAACCACAGAGAAACTACAACAGGAACCACAGTGCACGGCGAGATGGGGTGGGGGGCAAGGAGAACGTGGCGGGTCAGAAAACAGGGAGCAAAATCCACCAGGGAGAGAGGACAACCCTCAGGGCAGTGGTCTGGGCTTCTGGGAGGCTGGGGGCAACACAGGCAGCAGGACAGGCACTGAGGGGGCAGCGGCTCTGCCCCCCACCTTGAGCCCCTCCATGCACTCTCCAGGAAGCCATGGGACAGGAGGAAAATATGAGATAAAAAGGCATAAAATCCTGCAAGAAACAAGCCCACCCATTGAGAAGGTGGTAGAGTTGGGATTTGAATGTGACTTGAGCCCACTACGACAGAGTCCAGGCTAACACGCTAGGGACAAAGAAATGTCGAGGGTGGGAAATTCTCCCCCCCCCCCAGTTTGGGGTCCAGGGCTGATGCAAATATGCCATTTGGGCCCATTTCTCTGAACACCCACACCCATCCGCGTCCTCAAGGCTGGACGTCCCCTCTTTGCCCGTGCTCCCTGTTAGCTGCTGGAGGTCGGGGCGGGGGAGGGGCCCCCCCATGGAAAACCGAGTCCTGACCAAGCTCTGCTCCGCAGCACCCCACGTGATCCTTCTCTGGGCCTTGCACCCCACCCACTCTACCTCATTAGTACAAGAGGACCCGATAGGAGGACCTTGGAGGCCCTCCAGCCCCTCCCGGAACCACAGCAAAGCACCACCCCTGCTCTATGGCCAGAGGAGCTCAGCTGAAGCCACTAGACAAGGGGGCATCTAGATACCGGCCTGGCTTCTGGGGGCCCTTCCTGCCCAATGAAAACCACACCCCGACATTACCATGGCGACGTCAGCCTGGAAGATCTGCTTGATGAACTTGTTCCTGGAGGAGTGGACCAGCTGGATGATGTCTCCATGCAGGGTGTCCCGGTTCTTCTCCAGAAAGCCTGGGCGGCGGCAAAGAGTGGTCACACCTCGCCAGCTCTGGCAGCCTCCCCCTGACAAGACTCACCCCTTCCCTGAAGCCACAACGCCTGGTCCAGGAAGACCCTCAAAAGCCACCTAGTTCAACCACATCCGCTTTACAGCTGGGGACTCTGGGGCCTGTAGAGGACAGTAGCTTGCCCACGGTCCCAGAGAAAGCGAGGGGCAGAGCCAGCACTGGAACTCGTCTCCCCAGCCTCACAGCTCACCTCTTCCCGGCCTGGCCAAAGCGGAGGGCAGGAAGTCTCAGGCCCCGGGAGGGAGCGGGGCACCTTGCCAGCTCAACCACCGCAACCCCTGAAATGCCAGCTTCAGTCTTTTGGACGAAGGGGAGATAGGCTGGGACCTGGGACCCTCTACCGGAGTGCTCGCACCTGGACAAACGTCTCCTCCAGCAACAAAATACAAAGAAACTTAGGGACTAAAAATAACCACACGCATGTGCGGTACCAGCAATTGTGAACAATAAGATACAAAAAGGCCACAAACCGACTGCCATTCCTGAGCTGCTGGGAGCAAAAGCAGCGAACTGCCCGTGACCCCAGCACACGGCACCACCAAGAGGGTGAGCTGACCACGTGAGCCAGCCCACCAATCCGCCACCGCCCTCTCCTCATTTAAGGAACCAGCCCGCCCCCGCTCAGGGCGTGAGCAAAGGCACCTGTTTCTTGTTCTCACTCCCTCGTGCTAAAGCAGCACGAGCCCCTGTAAAGCTTGCCTGAATTTCTCGTCTGGCTTCTTACCAATTTCTATTGATTAAAAAGTCCAACGACCCAAGTTCAGTGACAAAGGTGTCAAAAGCCCTCGTTAAGTGTGTGCCCTGGGAGAGAAACCAAGTTCTTCTGGTACCAGCTAATAGTAAAGGAATGCATTTAAAATACCTTGTGTTTGGGAAGTGGCTTCACAGCTGGAATGCTCACAACTCCCCCGTATATGCAGGACAGGTGGAGACTATCTTCCCCACTCTCACAAGGGAAGAAATTGATGTTCAGAGAAGCTAAGCAAATTGTCCAACTGCACACAGCAAGCCACGGGCAGAGTTAAGACCTGAGCACAGGAGCCCTGGCACCAGCCCAGGGAGGCTCCCCTGCACCAGAGACTCCAAAGCAGGCTACCATCACCAGGGCCTGAGGACTTAGGAACTGGTTAATGGGGGGCCTTGCTAGCGCGGGGATGAAGATGAGGAGCCCAAGGGCTGGGGATGCCCGAGGAGGAGGAACCCTGCAGAGAAGCAGCACCCTTTTCCCCCGGGACTCAGGCTGCCCTGGCTGGCAGATGGCACAGAGACCCAGTGCGGAGCTGCCCACCTGGCATCTGGGGGAGGGTGAGCTGCAGGTGGCACTCAGTACTAGAAGGGGGGCTCTGAAGTTGGGATGGAATTGTAGGGTCCTAATTAAAGCTCTATGACAGGCTCACTACGGGACCCTAGGGAGGTCCCCTTCTGGGCCTCAGCTTCCTTATCTGTTGAACGAGCATGATGCACCCATAAGCTCTAGCTTCTTTTTGGATCACCTAGCACCACACATGTCATAAATAAAATTTACTGAATTGAAACAGTGCTCTGTACACAGAAAATGCTGACACAATTGTTTAAAGTAGCTCAAAACTGATTAGTGACCTTAGGCAAGTCATTTCCCTCTCGGGGCCTCAGTTTCCAAATCCATAAAAGTAGATGAGCCGTATGTTTCCTCCAGATCTAATAATATTCTATAATTTTATAACTGAGTAGAGTTTGCTCAATTTTCATTTTCGTCTCCTCAGCCACATCATGAAGCCTAGGACATAATAGATGCTCAGTGAACGTTGGTTGGACTGCACTGAAAAAAAAAAACCCTCTCTTACTCCAAACAACAGATCTATTTGTTTGTCCAACACTCCTTCAAACTTAACATTGGCTTTCTTCTTTCTAACAGGTGGGGCGGATCTCACACCCTAATGAGGGCTGAGCAGCCTTCTGATTGCATAATTGCCGCATGGCTTGCTCTCTGCCTCCTGGACCAACTCAACAAGGAAGTATGAAAGCAGTGGCTCTTTGCTTGTTCGTTTGGAATTTCACTGGCTTTGGCTGTGGCTGGGACCCTTTGGGACTGAAGGCGGGAGGGCAGACACATCCCACAGCTGATGCCCATTCAGGGCCAGCCCTTTGCACCAGGGTGTGAGGACTGCGGTTGGCAAGGGCAGTCTGCCCGCTTTTGACAGACCCTGTAGGAATTCCAAGTGGGGAAAACTTGACCGTTTTCTGACCGTCTTCCTCACTTCTAGCTTTAAAATGAGCCCAATTGTATCTCCCAGGAGAAAAGAAGATACATCTCCTTCAAAGACCAAACTTGGTCTTGCTGCTCAAAGAGTTTTGGTGAGTAACGGGGCTAGTTTTAGGCCTGACTTTGCAGCCAATAGGCCGTGTGATCTAAAAAAAACATTAACTGCCCCTTCTGAGACTCAGTTTCCCCATATGTGCAAAAGAACATTGAGCCCACCCGAAGAATTGAAAGCAGGGACTCAAAAAGATAGGTATACGGGCTTCCCTGGTGGCGCAGTGGTTGAGAGTCCGCCTGCTGATGCAGGGGACACGGGTTCGTGCCCCGGTCTGGGAAGATCCCACATGCCGTGGAGCGGCTGGGCCCGTGAGCCATGGCCACTGAGCCTGCGCGTCCGGAGCCTGTGCTCCACAACGGGAGAGGCCACAACACTGAGAGGCCCGCCTACCACAAAAAAAAAAAAAAAAAAAAAAAAAAAAAAAAAAAAAAAAAAAAAAAGATAGGTATACACCCATGTTCATGGCAGCACTATCACAACAGCCAAAAGGTGGAAACAACCCAAATGTCCACTGACAGATGAAGGGATAAATAAAGTGTGGTGTATATACACACACACACACATACACACACAATGGAATATTATTCAGTCATGAAAAGGAAGAAAATTCTGACACATGCTGCAGGGATGAACCTTGAGGGCATTATGCTAAGTGAAATAAGCCAGACACAAAAGGTGAGATAGTGTATGTTTCCACTTATATGGTGTACTTAGAATAGTCAGATACATAGAGACAGAAAGTAGAATAGAGGTTATCAGGCACTAGCGGGTGGGGGGAGGGTGGAGAGTCATTGTTTAGTGGGTACAGCGCTTCTATTTGGGGTGATGAAGAGGCTCTGGAGAGTGGTGATGGTCGTACAATATTGTGAATATACTTAAGGCCACTGAACTGTAGGCTTAAAAATTGTTAAAATGGTAAATTTCATATTACATATATTTTATCACAATTTTTAAAAAATCCCTAAAAAAGAAGCACTGAGCCCAATGCTTCCTAACATCCCTTCCCTCTTTGTATTCCAGGGCCCTGGTCTCTGTCCTGGGCTGGACAAGGGGAAGGAAGGGAGGGGACACAAGCAAAGAGAGACAGCCAGCCCCAGAGGGCCCACCTGTACCTTGACTCTCATAGTAAACAACGCCTGCAAAGTGGTTGATACCAAACTGGGTCTCGTGGTTGTTCTTGGGGGGAATGTAGTTCGAGTTGAGCTTGTGCTGGGAGTTCAGTTTATGCAACATGGTGGTGTCTGTGCCCTGTGGGAACCAAGCAGCGGCTGTCAGGCCCACCCACTCCTCCCCGTCGTCCCACTCTCTACCAGGCCCTACTGCCTTTCCTGCCCCCTGTCTTTTCACCCCCTCTTCTGTTTTTCCCAACAGCTTCCCTCCCTTTATTTATTCCCCACACAGGAGCTCTCTGGGCCTCCATTTCCCCATCTGTTAAGCGGGTGAATTGGAATTACACAACCTTGAAAGTACATTCCAGCTTAGAAAATCTATTTTCCATGATTAAAATCATGAGAGCAGCCCCTCCCCCACTCCAAGACATATTCTGTGTCTGGAGCACCTATTCTGCACCAGCTGCATGCTTAGATCTTCATAGTTTGGTCCAGGACCCACTGGACCGTAGATAATTCCCAAATGTCAGATGAGCGCACTTGAACCAGCCCCAAAGCTGCTCTGAGAGGCGCGTATCATGAGTCCCATTCCACAGACGAGGAAAGCGGAGGCTCAGAGTGTGGAGGGGACGTGTCTGCCCCGCTCCGCTGCAGGCCCACCTTGGGGAACTTGCTCTCCTCATCGATGAGGGAAATGATGTTCATGGGCTTGTTAGCGATCATGTCCAGGGCGTCCTGGTTGTCTGTGAACTCGATGTGCAGCCAGTCGATGCTCTCCAGGTCATACTCCTCCTGTTCCAGCTTGAACACGTGCCGCACGAAGAACTGCTGCAGGTGCTCATTGGCGAAGTTGATGCACAGCTGCTCGAAGCTGCAGGGAGGGGTGCAGGGCACAGGGGGCAGCGGGAGGCAGGGCGATGTTCAGGCCCTGCCTTGCCGCTCAGGGGCCGGCCCCAGCTTGGTGTGTAGTGTGCCCCTGGGACTTCCAATCTCTGAGGTGAACCAGCATTGCAAGTCCAACCCCCTCCATTACTGAAGAGGACACGGAGGCCCAGAGAGGGCACAGCACTTGCCCAAGGTCACTCAGTGAGTCGGAAGGAGAGTTAAGGCTGGAGCCCTCTTCCCTGCATGACCAGGCCCTGAGAGAGGGCTGGTGGATGGGCACCACACCCCTGGCAGAGCACCTGGGAGAGGAAGAGCCAAAGCGCTGGGGAGGGGCCTCAAAGAGAGATCCAAAGCGTCAGCAGACATGGGAAGCGGGCTCGCGAGATTGGGCAAGAAGGGCCTTGACAGTGACATCTCTGCACCACCAACTCAGTGCTCTCCCAGGTGACAGACACTTCATGTGTTCAATGTGAGTGTTTTGGTGGTGTGGAGGGCTTTGAGACATCTGAACATTACAGGAATGGAAGTGACTTGCCTGGGGTCACACAGCTAAAAAGTGGGGCAGGGCTGGCTGCCTCCAGCTCCAGTGTCCACCTGGGCCTGCTCCATCGATCTGCCCCTCACACAGCCCCCAAGTGGGACACCCACTATGGCCAACACCCCATCTCAAGCTTGGCTCAGGCCCCGCCTCACCTGCTTTGCGGCACCTTGGAACTTGGACACTGGACTGATGGGCAGCGGGGACTAGAGTGTCTGTGATGGTGTAAGAACCTTCGCTCCACCACCCCAGCTGGCCTCAGCTGACCCAGGGACTGGAGGGGACAGGGAAGAAGGGGAAAGGGCCCCAGAGGGTGTCTGGAGTCAAATTTTCCAACAGCCTGGCAGAGTGTGCTTGGGGCCAGCTAAATGTAGTTTAAAGGGAGAGATTTGACACTGAAGTCCATGTTGCAGAAGAAAATTCCCACAGGACACAGCCCACGTGGTACCTGTTCACGGCAAAGTTCTCGAACCCAAAGATGTCCAGGAGGCCGATGGACCGTCGAGAGTTATTCACTTCCTGGGAGGGAGGTTTGTAAATTGCCGCGTTGATCTTGTCCACAATCCACACAAAGAGCCGCCCGTAGATCCCCTGCGGGGAGAGGCAGCCACGTAAGCCACGGGTGCAGCCACAGCCTCGCAGCAGGACCGGCCAGGCTCCTGGGCCTCGGTGGCCTCGCTCCAGCCCCTTCCTGCAGCATGAAACCCCCAAGCTTCACCCTCTCCTGCCAGAACAATTCCTGCCTGTCCTTCAAAGCTCTGTGGAGACGTCAGCTCCACCAAGAAACTTCTCCTGACCTCACGCAGTTTGGGCTCCCATCTCTCCCAACCATCTCTGCCTCCCCTTCAGCTCTGATTATCACGAGGGTCCCAGAGCCCAGCACAGGGCCTGGCACAGCAGAGGGGCTCAACGGATGACAAAATGGCAGGACTGGGGGGCTTCTCCACCCAACCCAGCCCCTCTTCGGCGGTCCTCGTTGGAGAGATCAGAGAGGGTATCCCCTGGGCTGGGAATAGCACAGCAGACCGAGTGACCAAAGGTTATGATTCAACATGAAGCAGGCCAGGTGTGGAGGGCCTCAGGGCACCAGAGCTGTTGGGGCCGCTGAAGAGCACAGCTCCCACCCCTTGTGGGACAGACGAATGAGGCTCCGGGGAAGGCAGGCTCTTGCCCAAGCCCCAGAGAGCGCCAGTGGCTGGAGCCGGACCCAAGGGCAGACCGGGGTCAGGGCCCAGACGTCCTTCCAGCTCTGTGGACTCCTCGGCTCCTGTCCGTGAACAACCCCACCTCCCGTGGGGCGGGGAGAGCCGGCAGCCACTCCACCTTGACGAAGGCGTCTCTCACGTCCAGCGCTTGCTCCCTGCTGAGCGGGGTGGACACCGTCTCCCCGCGGGTGATGAGGGTGCGGCTGGTCAGGCAGCTCATCAGGTTTGGGGGGTTCACCTAGTGGGGCAACATCCAGGCACCCACTCAGCCGCCTGCCAGCCTGCCCCTCCCTCCATCACACCTAGAACCCCTCCCGCCTTCCACCAGGCCTGACTCAGACTCTGCCCTCCACGGCCATATCCTCCCCAGTCATCAAACCCACCCAAGGGCGGCTGAGAAGGAACTACTCTCTCCTCGACAGCCCCCTCCCCTCCCCCCAGCATGTCCCCTGTCCCTCCGGCACCGGCTTTGACTCGGGCTTTATTTATACCAGTTTTCCAACTCGAGGCAGAGTCTAGTAAATCTTTACTACAAGACTGACTGACCTTCTCAGGGCCCCCATGCTCCACACCCTCCCCAGGGGCAGCCGTGCTAGGTCCCCACTCCTCCTCTGGGACCCGTGCCCAACACAGATCCTGCACACAACCGGTTCTCGACGTCGAACTTCTAGAACTCTCCAAGCAGAGGGCCCCAGCTCCCTGAGCCTGAGGTCAAAACTGCTCCTCTGGGAGAGGGAGAAGCAGGCGAGGGGACAGAAAGCTCTCACTGACCTCGAGCAGAGACGCGGCTGTGGCCAGGGATGGGGAGAAGAGGACCTCGCAGGCATCCAGGTTTTCAAACGTACGGTCTGTCAGCAGCACCAGGGCGCAGCGTCAGGCAAGGGGGGGGGGCATGGGGGGAAAGGGACAGTCTAGCAGGATAAGGCGGCTCTTGTCTCAAGTCTCAGGGGGACTGCCCTGCCCACAGAGGGCATCAGCACCATGACTAAATGCTTTTCTGGGTTAATATCAGTTTGACGAATGTTGTCACCGTGAGCCACGGGCACCAGGAGGGTAGGGAGCACGTATGCCCAGCATCTGGCTTCATGCCTGACATCCACGTAGCAGACACTGGCAGTCACGGCCCCCTCTCCCATGACCCTCACTCCAGACCCCCAGAGCAATCAGGGGCTCCTGAGACAGGCTTGGAGAACTTGTCTAGCTCTGTGCCTGATACCATCTGCCCTTCGCCAAATGTGCCCTGCTCTCTCAGGCCTCAGGACCTTTGCACAGGCTCTTCCTTCTGCCTGGTGCGTGCTTTCTCCACGTCTCTTAGTCTTTCAAGACTCACTAAGACTGTGAGCTCCTTAGAGCTGGGATCATTCATTCATACTGAGCAAACATTCCCAGAGCTCTTACTCTGTCCTGGGGCCATGCTGGACACCAGGGCAAGAGCAGAGTGGACTTGGTGCCTGTCTCAGAGGACCTCCTCCCAGCCTGGCACATCGCTGGAGTGTCAGATGAGTGAACGTGTTCCCTTTTCTAGCCTGCCTTCCTTTCTGAAGATGGCTGTTCAGTCACTCACCCTCATACTTCAGGTTGCCCAGGTGCAGGATGGCGGCCAGGAGCTTTGAGATCTCCCAGTTCTCCGTGTCTGTGAACATAAGCACCTTCATGGCCGAGCGGATGTTGGCATACTCCTGGCTGTCCTCGCGGCCCTCACAGGTTATGCAGTTACCCTGGTGGGAGTGGGTGGGAGAGTGGGGAGTAGAAGGGTGTCGGGGAGGCCACAGGTACTCACAGTGCCTGGGCTGAAGGGCCCTCTGCCTGGCCAGGCCAGCCTGGGTTTCTGAGCACTGACTTCACCTATGACTCCTCCAGGAAGTCTAGAAAGCTCCTGGCTGGCCTTCTCAGGAATACATTGCCCACATCTGGGAAGCATGGATGGCCCTTCTTCCCATGAGTGAGAGGAGCCGGGTCACTGATGCCAGGCCTGCCCCCGTCACCCCGCCTGGCAAGTCACAGCACCAAGGCCTTACCTTACCCCTCTCCCCCCATGGACATCCACCCTCAGGAACCTGAACCCCTCACAAGGTGCAGCCTGGGGTAGAAGGCGGGAGGTGGTAACTACAGACAGGCAGGGCATCGCCTGGGGTCTGCCCCATTGTGTGTGCCTATGAGACCCGTGTGTGCACGTGTGTGTGTGTGTATCCAAGTGTGCCAGCCAGCTAACGGAAGTGCCCAGAAAGGCCTGCCACACCTACAATACACAGACATACACACACACCCCCCTTGGTTGTCCCACATCCCTCAGCTGCCGTGGCCCACACTTGTGTCCACGTGGCTGGCGCACCTCAGGTCCAGACAACCCGGCGTGGGCTCCCCCCAGTCCAGCCTGCTGTGTGCATGGCCCACCACTGGCGCTGAGTGGCAGCGATGGCCTCAGGCCCACTTTTCCTTTATGTCCAGACAACAAGAGGCTGGCAACAGGGCCCTGCAACCAGTAAGCCCCCGGGGCTGAAGCCACAGCAGGCTGTACCCTACAATCCTGGGGGCCCTGGCAGAGGTCCCAGTCTCCACGTCCTCAAAGAATAACGTATCACCTCCCACGTGTGCAGACAGGGCCGGGTGCGCTTACTCGTGGGCGTGTGTGTGTCTTTGCGTCCCTGGGGCTGGGACGTCTACACATTTAGGCATGTGTGTGTCTGTGGTGATAATTCGTCTAGATGTGTGTACAAGCAGGCGTGTGCCCACGTGGGGAACAGGCCTTATGGTGGGCTGGGGCCAGTCAGAGGATGGAAGGAAGCCCACAGAGAAGTTCCTACCCACCAGGCCTGGAGCTGCGGAGGGGCTGGGACGGTGTCCCCCTCCCCGGGTGCCCCACCTGGGCCTCACCATGGCCAAGTAGTTATAGTCTGTGGCCTGGCCCAGGCCCAGCTTCCTCTTCTGTTCGTCACTCATGCCCTCCAGCATGCAGTAGAACACGTGGTAATTCCTTTCATCGGGGGCCTAAAAGTGGGAGCACAAGGTGTTGGGGGATGGGAGGGCGGGAGGAGGCCATGCGGAGCCAGACAGACAAGCAGACTGTAAACAGTACTATGTTAACAAGTGCCTTTCCTGAAAAAGTCCCCGTGGGTGGGTTTCCTGCTGGGATTTCAGGCACTGAGGCAAGCGAACTGCAACACAGGGACAACCAAGGCCATGCAGACGGTGTGCACCCCACACCCCCCTGAGGCTGGGGGTCCCGCGCAGCTGCAGCTCTGCCCAGGGGCTCGGGCCCACCTGGCGACAGACACGTGACTTCTCCAGCAGGTACTGCTCGATCCTGGCGCCCTCGATGGCGCCCCGCTTGTTGAAGTGGATGTCGATGTACTTCCCGAAGCGGCTTGAGTTGTCGTTGCGAATGGTCTTGGCATTCCCAAATGCTGCAGGGTGGGCAGACGTTCATGGGTCATGGTCAGTGTCAGTCGCCCCCCAGCCCCCCAGCCCCGCCCTGAGAGCCCGGCCCTACCTTCCAGGATGGGGGTGGCTTCCAGCACCTGCTGCTCGATCCATGAGTGCTGCCCGCTGATGGCCGCCAGGAACTGCAGGATCAGCTTTGTGCTCTCCGTCTTCCCTGCCCCAGACTCCCCACTGCAGAGGAGCCCCAGGCAGAGGCAAGACCTGTTACTGCCCTAAACTGTGGCCCCCCCTCCAACCAGCTCCCTATCTGTAAAATGAGCTGACACTATGGACCTTCCAGGTCTGGGGAAGGCGAAAGGAGCTCAGCGCCCTGCCACAGCTAAAGGTTACCTTCTTTCCCCTTATTCAGACACACACACTCCTCCACCCATACTGCCACACAGCATGGCACGACCTAGATGCTCGATCAATGCTTTGTTGTTTTACTCTCTGCCCAAGAGAGAACAGGAGCCTAAGGTTGCAACTGACCATAATTTAACAGGAGCCAGCAGTAAACAAGGTTGGTCTCAACAGTTAACATGCGCTTTGGTAGCATTAATAGAGGTATAAGGCCTGGGAAAGGGGAGGTGATTCTCTATATTAGGAGGCATTAGCGGGAGCACAGAGCAGGAGTTCTAGGGGCCAAGCCTGGGGCTCCATGCTGGTCCTGGGCCGCCCACCTGATGATACAGCACTGGTCACGGCTGTTGCGCTTCATGTTGAAGTAGCAATTGTCAGCAATGGCAAAGATATGTGGGGGCATCTCCCCAATCTTCTTGTTGGTGTACTGGCGGATGTGTTCTGGCGAGTAGATAGAGAGCAGCTGGTAGGGGTTCACAGCCACCAGGATGGAGCCCGTGTAGGTCTGTGGGCAACAAGGAACAGGGAGCTCACTCCTTCCCATGTGGGAGGCTCTGACTCTAGAAAGCTCTCAGGCTCTGCCCTGCTCCGTCCCTCTGGAAGGGATAGCACTGGCTTTGGAGTCCCATGGATCTGGGGTCAGAATCCTACCTCCCTATGAGCTGGGGGTGGGGCCTTCAGATTAGCATTGGGTCGGGCTTACAGTAGGTGCTCAGAGACATTTGATGAAAGGAGGGAGGAAGTGGGGAGGGAGGGAAGGCGGGTCTCAAAGCCTCAATTTCCTTATCTTTATCTGTAAAATGGGCATAATATAACTTTATGAAAGAAGATGGTGGACTTTAAAATTTATAGCACACTGCAGGTAATTCTCAAATGCTGGCCCCCACCTTTGCCTCCAAACCCTGCATCCCAAACCTTCAGAGTAAAATTCACAAACTGGACCTTCCCAGAGTGGAGGAGTTGGGTTGGTGAGGGGGGAGTGGAATGAAGCCATAAAGAGCTAAAGGGGCTGGGTGGGCCCCAGTCTCTGCAGCACTGCCCCTGTGCTGTGGGGGACAGAGTGCCTCCAGCCATCTCAGGCAGTGGGGACACACAGGCCAGACACACCTCAGAGAGCCTTCTGGGGGCTTTCTCTCCTCGGGCTCCTCTGTTAGGGCACCTACGTGCAAAATTTCCTGCTGTGGGCCCTGCTACACAGGGGACACAAGGCCTGGCCCTCCTGCCACCAGGACACAGGGAGGCCCTCAGGGGTTACTTCTCCTTCTCTCCCCACCTCTCCCCACTCCAACTCAAAAAGGTCAGGCCCAGCTTATAAATGGTGACGGATCTATTGACATCTGGGCCCAGAGGGGTTGAAGAAAGATGTGACTGTGCAGGGGAGGCGACAGCCCTGCCCATCCCCTCCCACCCAGGGCCCAGTGCATCATACCAGAGCCCCAGTCACGCCCTAGCAGCCTCGGCCCAAGGTGGCCGTGCAGGGAAGGCGCTGCTGCCAGCACCGCATGCCAGGGCAAGTGCCCACCCCGGGAGCAGGTGTGGCCACGCAAAGCTGCCCTGGGCTGAGTGCCCCAGACCCAGGCTTCTCTCCTGCCAGACATTGTCCTTTTGGGCCCCAGTGGACGCTCCTCTCCCCCTGGCTCTTCCTACCAGCTAGACTCTGGTAACCAGGTAGGAGAGACAGCCACAAGGAACATCCCTTTGGCAGATCACTTTGCTTCTCTAAGCTTCAGTTTGCTCATCTGTAAAAGGGAGATGGTTAACACCCACCTCCCAGGGCTGTCATAGAGACCAAAGGGCACAACCTTTGACAGGTGTCTGGTATAGAGTCAGCTGTCCACAAATGCTCCCTTCCTTTCTTCTGAATACTCCCCTAACAAAGCGATGCTCAACGACCTGGCCCGTGATCCTCATGTGGCCTCGGGCCAGCTAGGCTCCGTGCTGTCATTCAAGAACCCTTCCCTGAGGCACGTGGGGAGGCTGAGAGCCACACGTTGGGTGGCAGGGAGGGAGAGCCTGGGGCCCTGGCAGCTTGCACCAAGCACACAGATTCCTTGAGATTGGGGCGGTGGGGGCGGGGTGGGACGGGGGAGTGGAGGGCTCGTCAGTGGGAATCAAGCCCAGAGGCATAAAAGGACAGGACACTTGGGAGGATTGCTGGGAAAAGGTCACCCTGGCAGCTGGGGAGAATGAAGAGCAGCTACAGACGCAGGAGGCAGAGACACTATTTCAGACCCAATGAACCGATCGACGGGGGCAGTCAGAGCCAGACCGAGGTGGCCCTGAGGACAGACCAAGCACAGGGCAAAGGGAATGCTGAGATGCCACAAGCAGCCTTCCAGGGGCTGGACCTGGACCCTCTTCTCCCCCTCACAGCTCCCATGGCCCTGTCTACTCTGCCCACAGCCCAGAGGGCCCTCCTGAGCACTAGACCCCTCAGCCTCCTCCCCAACTTGATGTCCACCAGCCTGTCCAGATGGGAGCTCACTCTCCCCTCAACCCTGCTCCTCCTCTGCCTCCCGGCTCGGCCAACAGCACCATCACTATCCTTCACGGCTGACCTTCACAGCCGACCTTCACCGCTGACCTTCACCAGGGCGGACCTTCACCAGGGCGGACCTTCACCAGGGCGGGATGCCGGGAGGCCTCCCTCTCCTTCATAACAATGCACTTCACTCCGTGGGCACGGCCACCTCCCTGGCCAGGCGCCTCCCCTCTGGGCTCCCAGCTTCCACACTGGCCCCTACAATCTGTCCTCCACTGGGAACCAGAGTCAGCTCTGAAAATCTGACTGTGTCATCCTCCTCCTGAAAACCCTCAGGAGATTCCCCATGGCCTCAGGACAAAGTCAGTATCCTTCCCCTGCCCACAGATCTCCGTCCGAGCCCTGGCCCTCGTTATCTGCATCCCACAGCCAGAGGCTCCCTCCATATTAAACCTTCTGTTAAAAGCACCAAACTCCATCCCCTGCCCCCTCACCCAGCCAATGCCTGCTCATCCTTCAGGTCCAAACGGAGATGAGCGCTCCCCCCTCAGGAAGCCAGGCGCCCTCCTGTGTGACCCATCACAGCCTCCATGGTCCCCTTCACTTGGCCCCCGACTCCTCCATAATTCTGGTTCAAGGCCTCTGCCCCCCAGCCTCACTTGTCTCTCTACCTGGGGCCCAATACTGTGCATGGTGCGTAAGACACGCTCAGCAAACGTTTGGCAAGTGAACGAATGAGTCACTAAATTAATGGATGGAGAAGAAATTCACTGCTGTCCACAGGAAACAGCAAGAAAAGGAGCTGAGGGGACAGTCCTGTCAGCAACACTGTGGCGGGCCTGCCTACGCTGACAGGAAGGATGGCCCGGGCTGGAGCTAGTGGAAAAAGCACACAGGTGTGAGGAGAAATGCTATCATTTGTGTAGAAAAAAATTTTAATTTTATATATATATATATAATTTAATATCATATATATCATATATATATAGTCTTTCTCTTAGAGGATAGATAAGAAGTGAGTAGCAGCGGTCATCTCTGTGGCAGAAGGAATATTTTCCAATCTGTAGCACATATACCCATTTCAAACTAAATAATAAAAACGAAGCCTTTTCCTTCAGCGAGAGGACCCGGCCCAGCAGAACAAGGACACACCACCTGCCAGGAAGATCCCTGTCGGGCGCAGGACTTGCAGCTTCCAGGCCAGCTCTCTCTGTATTGTCAGAAGGCCCCTGTGAGATGTAGTCATGACGCCCCTTCTCAGATGGGAGAACTGAGCCTCTGAGAAGGGGCGGGGCTTGCCAAGGTTGCACAGCAGATAAGCAGGGAGTGGGATGAAGCAGGGACCCTGGCACCAGAACCCCAGCTCTCGCCTCCCCACCTGGGCTCCCCCAGATCCCAGGAATTCACCTGTGAGACTGCGGAGCTGGCAGTGGGGGAGGTAAGAGAAGTGAGGGGCTTGGCCACTGCTGACAATGAGACTCAGGCCCATCCTGCCTTTCTCTGGGCCTTAGCACCCGTCCGTCCCCTGAGGTTCTAGGCGCTGCTCCCTGAGGCCCTCTGGCTCTGTCTCTCCAAGGGTTCATGGTCAGCAGAGAGTTAATGTCCAACTACCCAGCACAGGCCTCTTCTCCAGTAATAAAGCCTGCCCTGTGGGCCCATGGGCTGGAGTAGGGAAGAGATAAGGATTATTCCCAAGACAAGGACATAGCACACAGGTCCCTAGGGGCCCCCAAGTCCCCAGGTGGAGATCAAGGAGCCTCTCTTGGGCCAGAGACACACCCCAGGAGATATGGTAGGAATCCACCTCCTCCAGGAAGCCTCCGGGCCTGCTAGCCCTGGGGCCTCTCCCTTAGCAGACCATGGAGACCAAGACATACATCTTAGACACATACACCTTCCTAGTGTCACAGAGGCACCCACCCCATTGTGCCAAAGGGACGGCTGAGACCAGAAATGGGTAGGGACTCCCTAAAGGCAACCTGTCAAGACCTGGATCCAGGCCCCCCAGCCCCCAGACCAGGGCTCCAGCCCGTGTTCAGCCTCAGCCCTGCTACCTGCTGCCCGCAAGACCCAGGGACGACCCCTGGCCTCTGGGACCACCCAGTGAGAGGTTGCTAGGTGTCCTCTGAAGGCTCTGCTCCATGTAGGGTGCCTCGGGCTGACTTACGGCCCTGGGGTGCTGTCCCTCATGCACCTGGGGCCAGGCCAGCTGGAGCAGGCAAGCCCTGGGCAGACAGTCAGGGACAGAGCGTCCTCCGGGCCAAAGGCTGTGAGTGGCCGTGGTAATCTGAGGAAATCCTGGGTGCGTGGGGGTGTGCCCAGGGTAACCCAAGCCATGAAGTGACCAGGGGTTGCCATGGTTAGGGACAGGTATGGTTTCTGGGCGGGACAATGGCCTGGCTGCTTCTTCAAAGCCCTGCTCTAATCCTACTTCACGCACCCAGTCACAGAATCATAGAGTCAGAGAGTCATTTGAGCTGACTCTTGAGCCCTACAATTGTGGAGCACGGCTCCCCAGACCAACAGACACCCAGCATCTCAGGCCCACAGACTATCCAAGCTGGGCACCTTCCAGGCGCCACGACTTGACTTCCAGCCATGAGTCTCTGAAGGAGAAAGACAGCTCAGACACCTCGTGTGGGCTCCACCCCCGTGCCCTCCCACCCTCACCCAAAAATCAGTCAGAAAGGCTACTAGTGAAACTTCTAATGAGGCAAACGGTGCAGATCCCAGCGTTCTCTGGAGAATCCACAAAACTCTAGAATTCTTTTCTTTGATCCCACAGTCAACCTAGGTAAGGCCTAATGTTCAGGCTGATTTCTCTGCCGGCTGCCAGTCTACCCTCAAAACTTCACAAACAAGATTCACTGATCTCGGACTGTCTGAAGTTTTTTCCTCCTCTCTCCCTTTTGAATCCTGTGTTTGCCTTTGTTCTTTGATTCAGTCTACCAACCGACTCCCTCACTTACAAAGAACCAGTTTGCCGGCAAAATCACTAAACTACGCGCAAAATAACCAACTACATGCCTCTGAATTATTCTTAGACATTGTCCGCGGGGTCCCTGGTGGAAACAGCTCCCACCTCACTCAGCTCCCCCCTGTGAAGCTCACCCCCGAAAGGAGATTCAGGACGTCAGCTCTGCAGTGGCCTCCCTGGGCAGGCAAGTAGGTAGGCTCCCACTCACCTCCAGACCCAAGTGTCAGACTCCACCCAGGCCTGGGTGGGTGGCGATGGAGAGCCCCTGGACCATCCTGTGTCCACCTGCTGTCCAGAGAGAGGAGGGAGGAAGGAACCGCCAAGAACTGGGGTGCAGACACAAGTGGGTCCCATGGGATATCTCTGGCCTGGGCTCAAGTCCTAGCTCCCCCCTGCCATTGTCTAGGTGACACTGCTCACATCTGGAGGTGCCATTGTGCCCTGCCCCCTGGGTGAGGAAAGGAGTGAGAGGGGCTTTGTGGGTACTAAGGGTCTCCCTGAGAAAGCTGCTTGCTGTGCCAATGCAATCAACGTACGTCAGGGGCCCAAGCACAGCCTCTTCTTGGGAGTTCAAAGCTACAGAAGGACCCAGAGTGGGGAGGCTGGCAGGGGGCCTCCCGAGCAGCTGAGGCACCACAATTCCAGGACTTCTGAGGGCCCAAGAGTTCCTTGTTGTGCTTCCTCAGGTTCCCTCAGACTCTCCCAGCTCTGTCTCCCTGGCTCCCCTTCACAGTCCTGACAAATCACTCACTCGGCACGGTCCTGCCTCAGGCCTTCTGTTCATGAAGTGTCCCTTCCTGAACGCCATCTCCACCAGCGGCCAGGAGGTGACCTGGGAGCGAGACCTCACTCCTACAGACTCTGCGGAACCAGCTCCGCACCTCTCTCAGGCACTTATATCACCCCACACCTCCCCTGAGCGTGCCCAGCCTGGGGACCTGGCTCAGGGGGCTCCCTCCTGCTCTCTCCTTGTTGTACACCCACAGCTTCCTTCACCCCTGAGCTGCTTGGGCACACAGCTCCGGGCCTGGCTAAGCCTTATAGAGCCTGAGTTTCCCTGTCTGTAAAATGGGACTAGGTCAGCAGTTCTCAGAGTGTGGTCCAAAGACCCCTGAGGGTCTCAGAGACCCTTTCAGGAAGTCCATAAGGTCTTGTCTTTTCCACCTCCATATCTGTGAGGCCAGATTTTCTTCATACGCTTCAGCCAACACAATGTCACATCAGTCTGGATGTGAAGCAGATACAGGAATCGGGTTGTCTTCTATTGAGTCAGATACTAAAAATATTTGAAAAAAATGTAAAACAATGCCCCTCTTCTTACTAATTGTTTTATGTTGGCAAATATAGTTATTTTTCATAAAAATACATTATCCTGTAATGGATTTTTTGTGGTTACTTTTAAATGTCTCAGTTAAATTTCTAATATGTTAAATATCAATAGATACAACCCACATAAACAAAAGCTCTTTGAGGTCTTCAATAATTTTTAAGAACACAAAGCACTCCTGAGGCCAGAAAGTGTGAGAATCTCTAGACTAAATGATCCTGATGGGCCCTTCTTGTTCTCATGGTCTCTCAGCTCACCTCTTGGGATCAGCTCACTCCTGGCTGAGTGAGATGCTCTTTATTTGTCCTCTTGAGTTTCAAGGTGGGGAAGTGTGGGGGGGGGGGTGTATGACTGGTTCTAATTTCAAGGGTTTGGGGGATCAAGGAGCATGTCCAGCCTCCATCCCCTTCAAGAGGACACAGACTTCCAACCCATCCCCTCTTGACTTTGAGGACCCATGGCAGGTCCTGACCCCACAGCAAACCCAGGGAGAACAGCAGATCCCCCATCTCTGGGCAAAGCACTGAGCCTGTCACCGTCCCCTCCCTGGTCTGGCCTCCCGGTGGTTTCAGCCCTACGGAGGCACATGAACCCCTGGAAAAAAACCTCCCCATTCTCCAATCACAGACCACACAAGCCACAGCCCCAAAGAGAGGATGAGCCACAGACGCGAGCGGCTGTGGGCGTGGGCTGAGTCCCTGGTCCCCAGTGGCCAGCTGCAGAGGCTGGGCAGGGCTGGCTGCAAGTCAGAGGGACTGCAAGTGGGCGGGGCTGCTGGCAGGCGGGGCGGCACTCACGTAGATGAGATGGTCTCGGTATCTAATGAGCAGGTTGCGCAGGATGCCAGCTTCGTTGAGGTCCCCCAAGCGGATCATGTCCTCCACGCCGTGGACCGACGTGGGGTGCATGGGCTTGATGTGCCTGGCATTCTGCGGGGAGATCCAGTGTTCCTGCGGGGAGGCACAGTGGCTAACGTAAGCTAGTTGCGTCCTCCTGGCTGCACTTTGCTAGAGAAGAGTCCCGGGAGGGACGGGAACCCCGGGTACCTGCGACCCCATAAGGGCCTCTCCTGCGGCCAAACACTATCATTTCTAACATCTATGAGGACGTTAGCGCCCACCCCTACCCTTCATGGACCACTCTTCCTCCTCTTAGGGGATTCTCTCTGCAGACCTAAGAGGTGGGCATGGCAGGGATTTGGGCCCTACCTCATGGTTGTCATAAAAGGGATTAGTCTCTCCAGTCACCTTACAGGATGGAGTGGAAAGTGTAATCACTGGAGTTAGACAGACTTGGCTTCAAATCCAAACTCCGATAAACAAAGGCACAAGAATTATTCAGATAGTGCAATATTTCCTGCTGCCACGGGGGGCAGATGGTTGCACATCTGGGCAATAGCCTTTGTTCTTTCAACAAGTTTGCGAAGCCGTGGTTTCCTCTGACCTCCCCCAGGTGGTCTCCAGTACCCTCTACTCACAGCCCCAGCTTCTCAGAGAAGTGAGAATCTCTCCTGTGCTCTGCACTGTGGCTACAACCTGAGTCAAGCTTCCAAAGCCCTCTGGGGCCCCCTCCTTGTTCCCAAATGCCGGAACCCTGGGAGCCTCAGGACCAGGCAGAAAGCTGACTGGTTCCCCAGGCTGGGGTCAGTGCCTCCTCTGGGCTCCCACATACCCTAGGTCTCCCATTGCAAGGCAATGGTCACTGCCACTGTCGGAGCGCAGTTCTGGCCCTGACCCCTCCATTTTCCCCAAGGCTGGTTCCATGTCTGCTATACGCCTGGTTCACAGTGCCTCATATAGGGGCCAGGCACAAATGACGTGGCAGGGGATCCCCGATGAGACAGATGGCCGGCTGGGGACTACAGGAACCAGTCTGAATTAAAAGCAGAGTCCTAGTCATGGAGAGACCCCAGAAGTCCCCTATTACAGCCCCCTCACATCACATGAGAAAATAGGATCAGAGGACCACAGCCCTCAGAGAGGTGAGGGGCAGGCCAGCGATTGCTCATGACTCCAGTTTCCCTGGCATTTCACGGCATCTCCTGGGCCAGGGCATTACATTCCAGGTCAGGCCCTCAGACAGCCCTGACATGAATGCGCCTGGTGGTGAGATCAAAGAACCTGCCGACTTTCCAATCCCGTGTGGAACATTCCTCTCTCCCACCCTATTTCTTGATAAAAGCTGATCCAATTGGAAAATTCCCTTTCCCTGACTCGGTCCTAAGCCCTGGAGTGGGCCAGAGGGGAGAGGACGTTGGGCAGGCTGTCTGCCTTCCCCGCTCGACCCCAGCCTCTGGTCCCATAATTCCTCCCCAAGACACTTCCGCACAGAGTTAAGAGCTGGCTCAGCCACTGCAGGACCTGTAGCCCTGTGCACATCACTTTGCTTTCCTGAACCTCTACAACCTCATCTGTGAAATGGGAATGAGATTAACAATCCCTTTTTCTTGGAGATGTTGGGAGGGTTAATTGATACAATAATGGCCAACCTCTGTTTCACTCCTGCCAGGTCTAAAAAGCACTGGTGCCTGATAATTGCTCAACCAGTGCTGGGTATTATCACTTTAATGTTTTCCAGTTTTTGTTGCAAAAGAGATGTACGTTCTCATTTGTTTCTCTTAACGTCTCATCATGGAATTACCAGTCCCGTCTTACAGTGAGGAGTCACATTGGAGAGGTAAAGTGGCGTGCTCAGTTAGATGGCAGAGCTGAGCCTTTCCCCGCCCCTTTCCTGCATGGAAGGTCGCCCGGCTGAGGTCAGCAGCGCTCAGGTCAACGTCCACAGACACCTACAGCACAGACCAAAGTGTAACCAGGGCAGAAACTGAGGCCTGGCCCTGAAGGCATACCAGCGAGAGACAGAGAGGGAACATGGCCAATTCTAGGGCCTGGGGGCACATTTGGGAAAGAGCTGGCCTGGCACTGAGCTCAGAGAGGCAAGGACCACGTGCTCTGTAGAGGAAGGGAAGGAGGGGTACATCTGCCAATGAGAACAGCTTGGACAAAAGCAGAGCCTTAGGACTCCAGTGAGGACGGAACCATGACCTTTCATTCATTCAGCAAGTCTTTACAGAGGACCTTCTCTGGGAGACCTTTTGTTGTGCTCTGGGGAACCAGATGTGATTCACCTGGTCCCTGCCCTCAAGCTGAGGGAGTCTGTGGGCAGACAGAGGGGTCAAAGATGATGGCCTGGAGGTGGGGGAGGGGGAGGGAGTGGGAGTAGGAAAGGCTGGTGAAAGGGGAGGCCAGAAGCCGCTAGGGGCCCAATGCCACTGAAGCAAACCCAGCCCCCTAACCTGCTCCCAGCCAGCCAGCCACATCCCTCCCCCCTCTGCAGCCCCCGTTCTCAGGGGGCAAGTGGGAGGGGACCTCTGGGATCCGGTGACACAGTTATGGGACACCATCTGACATGCAACATGACCCAGATGAAACTCAAGCCTGCAGGCAGAGTCCCTGGGCCCCACCCGGGGGGTCCAGGCTAGCCTGTGGGCCTGCGTGTGCTGCCAGCCATATCCGTGTCCCCCTTCTGAGGCTGCAGCCTCACAGGGGCTTCCTAGAAGGCCCTGGAACTGCAGCCTCTGGAATGACGTTGCAGGCACTCCATTTCTAAAAGCTCAGGGGACAAAAGTGTGGTTAACAGAACCTGAGCTCTAAAGCTGCCACCGAGATGCTGGGAGAGGAAACACCCGCACAGAACCCAGAGGTCCGGATCCTGACCCCAGCACCATCATTCACTAGCTGTGTGACTCGTCCTGAGGGTCCCTCTCTGGACTCCAGTTTCCCCTTGGGGTAACAGTTGCTGTCCTCCCTGCCTTTCACAGACACTGTGAGGACCTGAAGATAGAACTTCGGTCAAAGGGCTTTGCAAACCCCAAGGCGGGTATCCCCGGGGGCTGCAGGGATAGCAGTGATGTCCCTGCCTCCTCCACGTTCAGTACCAGGCCTCCAGGGTCCTGAGCCCTCCCCTGGAGCTCAACAGAGCCTTCTTCTCCAAGTCACTGCACCCTCTTCCACCCCCATCAAACTAAGAGGCTAAGATGGGGACTGTCTCTGTGCCCCCAGCGCCGGCCACAGCGTCAGGCACAACCCAGATTACGGTGGAACCTAATCTCTCTGGTCCTCCATGTCCCCACTAAGCTGTACATGTGCCCCTGCCGCATACACACATGCCATGCACACGCACACACGTCCAGAGTTCCCACGCTTCCCCTCTGGGCCCTCATCAGGGTCACCTTCTCTAAGGCAGAACCCTGACTTAAGACCTTTTCTTCCCTCCCCAAGGCCCCACTCTCACTGTCTATCAAACTTACACTTCCTGTGGCCCTTTTCTTCAGGGCCACAAGAGATAAAGCATTCAACTGTTAGACTAATTCCAGGGCAGCGTCGGGGTGGACAGTGAATTCGTGTGATGCCATAACCCCACAGAACGAGAGCGGGCATTTTCAGACCCCCTCACCCTCTTCTGAGGCATTCACGTGTGATCTCACATATGAATCAATAACCCTGTGAGGGTTCAGGAGGGAAAGAGATTTGGCCAAGGTTGCATAGCTAGCAAGTGGGCAGGATGGGATTTGAATCCAGTCTGTCTGACCCGAAAGCACCCCTGTACCTGAGGAGCTCCCAGTCCGGTGCCACCTCCTGCCCCACTGTACACACCGGTATGCCCACACAGACACACATTTCTAATACCAGGCAGAATGGACTGAAGTGCTGGTGGAACTAGAACAGGTAGCCTGGGGCAGAAGGGGAGGCTCCCTCCCACGGGGGTGATGGGGAAAGCTCCATGGGGGAAGGGGGCTCTGAGAGGCAGAAGCAGGGCACAGGCACTGCCTCCATCCCCCTGAGGCAGGTCACCTGTCAGCCTGGGTCCCCCCCAAGGCCTGGGGGCGGGGTGGCCGCGGGCTACTCACATTGCCTTCATCGTCCACCACCTGGATCTGCCCAGAGTCACAGAGCTTCACCACTGCCCCGATGGGCACATCAAACTCCTGCCCGGATCTCAGGTCCATCCAGACATAGTCCCCCTGCGGGTGAGAGAGGCCCAGGCCAGGTGAGCAGGGAGGGGGATCGGGTACTCCTTCCAAGCAGTCCCGTGCCCACCCCTCCACCACCAGAGGCTCTTGTGCCAACCACAGAAGAGGGAAGAGAAGGGAACTGGCACTGTGGAAGCCATGGTGCCAGGGCCTGGGCTGGGCACAATGTAGTGTCATCAATCCCTCCTCTGGGGCAGCTGTTACTGTCCCCAATTTATAATGAGTAAGCAGAGGCTCAGAGAGGGGAAGAGCCAACACCACACAGCTGGGCAGCTTCAAGCCCAGGCCTGTCCAAAGCCCTGACCTCTCCCCAAGATGCTACAGCCCACACATGTACAGCAGACTCATTGCAGTTTAGGCAGAAACACTTCCCCTCTGTCCTAAAGGAGGCGTACCCCCAGGACATCCAAACAGCCTCTGTCACCTCCTTGGTCAACAGTCACAGTTATGACTTCCCTGCAGTGATGCTGCTCTGTGCCAGGCCCCATGATCTATGTGGGCATCGCTCTCAGCCACACTGTCTCCTGGCTTGTGGGGACATCCCGATCTGGGGCCAGGGGACCATTATATTTGTGTCCCCTGCAGCGTTCAGCGAAGGGCCTGGCTCCCACTACACACTCAGTAAGGGTTCACAGAAGCCAAATCTACAATCCAGAGTCAGAAAATGGACTTAGAACAACCACTTTCAGCACTGATGCATTCAACGTGCATGTACTGAGCACACACTGGGTACAAGGCACTGATGGATCTAAATGCTGGGGATCGAGCAGTGAGCATGGAGTCCACATTCTAGTTGGGAGGAGACAGAAAACAAACAACTGAGCAAGTACACGGTCACTTGGGATGGCGGTAGTGCTGTGATGGAAGTGAGCACACCAACACTGGAGAAAGACAGAGCTGGCCAACCGGAGACTCATTCGCCGGAGAAGCCACTCTATGAAGGAAACCTCTGAGCTGAGACCTGAAGGGCGAAAAGCAGTCAGGCTAGGAAAGAGCAAGGGTAGAAATCTGGGCAGCGGAAATGATAAGTGCAAAGGCCCTGAGGCAGGAAGGAACCACAAAGAGGTGGTTGTTGCAGGACCTGATGAGAGAGAGAAATGGGCAAGATTCAGGACTCATAGACTCTCATTGGCCTGGAGGTAAAAGTTTGAATTTTATTCTAATCTTTTTTTTTTTTTTTTTTGCTGTATGCGGGCCTCTCACTGTTGTGGTCTCTCCCGTTGCAGGGCACAGGCTCCGGACGCACAGGCTCAGCGGCCATGGCTCACAGGCCCAGCCGCTCCGCGGCATGTGGGATCCTCCCGGACCGGGGCACGAACCCATGTCCCCTGCATTGGCAGGAGGACTCTCAACCACTGTGCCACCAGGGAAGCCCTTATTCTAATCTTAATAAAAGTATTTTTTGGGGGTGGTTCCCAAGTTCCCCAGAAGGGTAAGAGAACCTAGACATCCTAATAAAAATATAACTTCCTATCAAACGGCAGTTAAAAGCATAACAGTTGCTAAAACTGATTCACAATGAAATAAGCCCATGGGGATGGCCCAGGGGAAACAGCTCTGGGCTATGAGACTGGGATCCAGGACCCACTTGGCCTCCAGTAAATCGCTGACCTCTTTGAGCTTCAGTTTCCACATGCCTCAGTGAGGCGTGGGCTTGGTGAGTCCCAAGGCCAACTCTTCACTGTTTCAGCCTCCTCCTGTTCCCATCAGAACCAACTACTTTTCGGCCACAGCCGTCATTATGGGCCTTCACTTCATGGGAGGTTAGCGCATGTTAGAAACAGACTAGCTTCAAACCCAAGCTGTCTCCCAGAGAAAGTGAGAAAAATTGGAGAGCATCTGGGCTGGGAGGAGAACTCATGCGTTTGCTAAGCATCTACTGTGTGCCCAGGCTGCATGACTGCTTCCCATTTAATCCTCACGACTGCTTTAGTCCCAAGTCCAAGCTGTGCTTCCGGCCACACTCCTCGCCCTCTCTAAGCGCCAGCCCAGGACCACCTGACACAGTCCTGCTCAGGCTGTTCTGTTCCAACTGCCCCCAATCTCACCCCACCTTTCCACTGAGTGGACACCCAAAGCAAATAGCAACTCTTCCCTGGCCCCTCCTCACTGCCGCACCTTCCACCTCCTCCCCAATTCCTAAAGAGTTAGTTCATTCATTCAGTACATATCTGTGGAGAGTCCGCTGTGGGCCAGTTTCACTCCAGACCCTGGGGCCAGAGCAGTGAACAGAGGGGAAAGCAGAGGGCCTAGTAAGGGCCGGCCCGGGTTGGAGCTAGATGAGGGGGCGCTTGGAGGATATGGGCAGCACCAGGGCACACAGGGCCCTGGGAGCCATGGACAGACGTTGGACTTTCTTTCAAGTAGGACAAGTAGCCACTGGAAGGTTTTAAAGCAGGAGAGAATGGCATAATGGATTTACATTTTCAAAACTTCCCCCTGGCTGCTGTGTAAAGAACACAGGCTCTCCTCCAGTCTTCGGGGCCCCTGGGCTTGCCCCTTAACAGCCAGCACCACTCTGGGTCATCACCATGGGTGTCCACTCCCCGCTAGCCTGCAGCCCCGTGAGGGCAGGGCTGGTCTGAGTCTTCCTGGTGACTCCCCAGAACCAAACATAGAGAAACAGTTCTTCTCTCAGTGAGACAGAGAATCAGAATGTGAAACAGCGTGTATGTGAGCATGTGTGTGAGTAGGTAAGAGGGAGCATGTGACAGAGTTCGTGTGTGAGAGAGAGAAAGAGAGAGACTACCTGATTCCCAGAGGCCAGCGGTGGCGGGCAGTGGCACCAGGACGTTGCTCTATGCAAACTCAATACCCCTGCAACAGGCCAGGTAGTGACTTCCATGCTTCCCTGTAATTAACTGTCTCATTGACCCTTATGACAGCGCTTAGGCAGGGCACTCTCTCTCTACCCCATCTCCTCAAAGAGGTCAAGAAACATGCCCAAGGTCACACGGGTGTTTTGTGGTAGAGCTGGGAATGAAGCCCACGCCTGGCAAACTCCAAATTCAGTGCTCTCTCCCTACATCCCCTGGGCCCCACCCTGAACCCAGCTCTGCAGGCAGAAAGGAAGCACTGATAGGGTCCCTGGCTGAAGATGGTTTGTGGACCCAAAAGGCAAACTGGACGCTCCAGCTAAGGGCAGCAAAGCAAACAGAAATGTCTAGAACCCTCCTAGCCAAGGACTGTCACCAGGAGGGTGGCGACTTAACTTTCTCTTCTCTTGGTCTGAACTCGAGGAAAGAGGCTAAAATGGCAGCTAAGAGGCTTCAGGGAGGAATCTGGGGCCTGAGAACCTCTGAGGGGGACAGTTCCCATGGTCCCATGGAAAGCACTTGGGGCATCAGAATGCAGCTGTGTTGTAAGGGTCCCCATTTTACAGGTGAGGAAACTGAGGCCGAAAGCGAGAAAGGGATTTGGCCATAGTCACTCATCAAATCAGTGACTGATGAGACTGTGAGCATCTGCAGGGCAGAGCCTGAACCCAAAATGGGGTAGGTCAGGAATCGCTGGATGCGTGAAGGAAGGAGCAGAGGAAGGAAGATGTAAAAGAACATGACACTTTTTTGAGGGGCAGGAGAGGGGAGGAGAGGAAAGGGGCACTGGGCTCAGGTCTAACCCCACCAGCCCCTCCCCACAGCCGATTCCAGGCAGCCCATGACTGTATCTGGCCCCATTCTTACCACTCGACTGTGAGGGGTGCCCCACTAGGGACCTTACCCGGAATCAAAAGTTCCATTTGTGTAGACACCTGCCTCTGTGTGGCTGTGTAACCTGGGGCAAGTTCCAGCTTCTCTGCTGTCAGTTGAGTGGTTCCCAGCCCCAGAACGGTGAGTTCCTAGATGGCTTTGCCTAAATGTTCTCAAGGGTACACCACAACCCTAGTGGGGGCTTCCTCCAGGGAAGCTGGCCCACATCCACAATGAACACAAGGTAAAGAGTTCTGGGTTCAGGTCCCAGTTCTGCCACGAACGCTGTGTGACTCTGGGTAAGTCTTTCAGTCTCTCTGAGCCTTAGAGTTCAACAACCTTAACAGGAAAGGAGTCAGTGCTTGTGAAGATGAGAGACCCATGCAAAGGGAAGTTGTCTTTGATGTCCACCACCTTCCCTCCTAGGCATGAGCCCAGGATCAGATCAATATCAACTCCCCGCAGGGCCTTAGCCTTACATGCCTCTTTCCTCCTCTGGGGCAGGGCCTGAGGTTCAGTCCCCGTTTGTGCAATGAAAAGGAGTCTGTCTCAGGACACTCCCCCCACCCTCACTTATCCTCATAGCCACTCCGGGACATTGGTTACATTAGCCCCATTTTCACAGGTGAGAAAGATGGGCCAGCTGACTTGCCAGGGGCGCCAGTGAGCAAGGAAGTGTCTGGTTGCTAATCTTCGGTGGAGGAGGGGACCCGCGGGCCATGCTTTCCTTCTACCAGACGGTCAGCCAGTCCACAAACGTCTCCCCGAGCCCCCTCCGTGCACCTGGAGTCATCCCTTGCTCTGGACCCGGGCAAGGGCAGGGAAGCCCCTTTCCAACGCTGGCACATCCACCTCCCGTTTTCCAGCTGCACAAGCTCCCCGCCCAGGCAGGGGCAGCTGGGGGCCAAGTTCCCGCCGGGCGTCTAGGGCCGCGCGGCACCAGAGGGCTCAGGTGTGCGTGCACCCTGGGGCTTTGCGACCCTGCGGCCCGCCTGGCTCCAGACAGGCGGGGAAACCGAGGCCCAGGACCGGGTCCGCGGGGCGCGTCCTCCCCCTCCCGACCCGGGCCTCACCGGCAGGACCGCGTATGTCTTCAACGCCTGGTTCAGGCTACGCAACAGCGCCCACTTGCCCGGCTGCTTGGCGCGCGCCTCGGCAGGGTCGCCGGGGTCAGCGGCGTCCTCGGGGCTGGCGGGGTCCGCGGGATGGGCAGGGGGCTCCATGGCGCGGAGGGCCTAGCGGCGGCTACGGTGGCAACACGTCTCGAGCTCCCTAATTCACCTAATCCCGTGCGCGCCGCCC